TATAGGTACATCCTATCAGCTGCTATTTCATCTGGTTATTGAATTTGATGCTGATAATGAAGGTTAATAGTTTGTTTTACGACTGATTTGTCGTTTTTCAGAATTGCATTTAGTAAGCTAGAAAGCTATCCATACGTTTTCTGTTATACAACTCAGAGTATCTTTGACTGTTAATTTGTCCTTAATACGCTGTTTTGTGGACTTCAACAAATTTTAAACAAGGACAGTGAGGTTCCGTAGGTTAATTGGTATGCCAGGTCAAGTTACGACGCTACAAAAGCGCCAAATTGTACACTACAAAAAAGTGAAAGCTAAATTAACGCTTTTCTCATTGATTTTGCGAATTTACTGCAGCAAAACACGACTCAAATATGAGAAAACCCGATATTCTTGCAATGTACTTCAGTAGTGTAGCGACTGAACGTTTGAAGAAAATTTGACGACCACACTTGTACCTATTAATGTTACAACTCAAAAAACCGTTCTGACGAGCTAGTCTGCAGCTATTGTTTGGCCCTTCTCGGCCTTTTTTGTTACTTTAACAAAAGTACATAATTTTGCAAGGGCGTAGAATATGGGTTCGGTCTTCCTAATCACCAGTAAGTCCTGCTAATCACGACAGCGAACTAGTTAGTTATTTGACATTACGATTACTAATAACCTTCGCAATATATCACTAAGGTTCCCACTTTTGCGACCTATAATTCTCTGATCTGAGCTGATCTTTTATAGCATTAGTTCTAAACTCGAAAGCTATTTAGAGAAGACTTACATATGTAAGCCTTCTATATATATTAGTTCATAAATACAGCTTGTATGTTAAATATACCTAAACTAATGTGAAAACTCACCTATTTTAATTATCGTGATGGATTCGTTTCTTTAATAGAAGACTAAACCACTGCTTTCTCATTTATTTAGGTCTTTTAAATCTACCTTAACAATGATCGCGCATTGGATGCCTTGTAAAATTGAAGCGAACGGAATGATAGTAAATTCTGAACTTCAATGTTCTGAAACTTTGAAGTAATTTGTATTTGTATAACACTTGTCGTTTCCTATTTCAGTGATGAACCTGGTGCATTAAGTAATCATGTACTACTTTCAAATTTCCGTGGTAGACCATTAAGAGGGGTTCAACTCAGTTTCCCTGACAATTACTCACCAGTGGTTGTTCACCATAGTAGTGTCGTGTCAGACGTTGGAACAGAACCAATAAAATTTGGGGCTAAGCTCGATAAAATAATCCTATGGAATTTGTCCACACCACCAAGATTCTCAGATCCTATACCATTATCTCTCACTTGGCTTCATTTGGCTAGTATTTTGCATTCAAGCTCCTAGTATTCGCTGATACATATTGTTCACACTTATTGCATATCTTCTTATGCTGACGGCTAATGTTTTACATATCTGTACAACTAAATGAATGATGATCATACAAATATTTTTTGTAACTGATTTTTTGACTTTATAAAGACAACCATTCTTTTTGAGTGGTCGTTTATTTAATTCAGGACTAAGCATCATATCGAGATATATAAATGTTAGCAAAACGTCACTATTCACAAATATAAATAGGAATCATATTAAGTGTTCGATATACTAACGCAGAACATTATCTAATTTCCTCTTTCATCATGTCGCGTATGTCATGTGTTGTTGAGATATTATTGTATTCCCATTACTAAACTGTCTTAACATGTTTTTATATTGGTTTGGATTTAGTCTTAATATCTGCCAAACACTGTTCAATTCAAACGTAGGTCTTTTATCCAACATTTGTTTACATTTCTATAACTTTTACGGTTATAAGTCCTTTGGATTATATGCGAAAAACGATTAACTGTCATTATCATACAGTGATAACTTGAAGTATATTATCGATCTGATCGAACTGATTGTTTTGAGATTAATAGCTATCTCGAACCAACCTACTATATTGACAGGTAATGCCGATGTGATTCAAGTATCAATCTGATATGAATTATGTGTACAAATGTTCATAGCTATCCTCTGCATTACTACCTTAGCCAAATCCGTAAAAATAAGACAACAACGATATACAATTTTCTTAAGAATTATTGAGGCAACTCTGTATAATATGTCGAAAGATGTATTTATCAGATTACATTTAGAATATACTGTCCAATAAAGTATCGACGAAGAAAAGGCTGCCCGTACTGGTATAGTTCGATGAATATTATGAGAAGCTTGATAGGAGTATTTGTTCTCTTAGTTTCTTAAGAATGAATGCCTGCGCTCCCACTGACTGCAGCCCGGATGAAGTGAAAGATAACTTCTAAAAAACTTCAAAAAGCTAAACACGAAGACATAGTACTCGTAACAGGTGACTTTAATGCCCAGGTAGGTAGCTTGAACCAAACAGAAAGACATTTAGGCGGGTATTACAGTATTCCGGTTCAGCGAACAGATAATAATGACCGTCTGTTGCAACTGTAGTCAGACAATCGTTTATTTTTAGCAAGCAGTAATTTTTAGCGTAAGGAGAGACATCGTCTAACATGGCGACCCCCTGCATCAAACCAACGATGAACTGAAATAGACCATATTGCCATCAGTCATCGTTGGAGAGGCTCGTTCTGGAATACCTGTTTAGACTCCGATCATGCTCTAATACGAGTATGCATGTACTTGCGCCTCACTGGACGCAGAAAAATCACACTAAGAAGACCTATTAGGATTGAACTGACGGACGAGGAAGCCATAAGTAAGTTCCAGGAACAACTGATGTAACTTAGATAATTCAGAAAACGAGGCTGACCCAGATATTGGTTGAAAAGATATACGAACAGTTGTGGAAACAGCAGGGGCATCTATTAGTGATTTAAACTATAAGGTTACGAAGAATCAATGGATTTCTACTGTCTATTGCACTGATGGATTCTCGTAAACTCATCCCATCAGGCTCTGAACACGATGAAGAGCGAAGACAAATCAGATCTAGGTTAACCAAAAGTCTAAGGAATGACTGTAAGTAGTAGTGGGCAACGAAAGTAAAAGAGATGGGAAAGGCAGTGACTGTAGGTAACATCAGACAACTCTTCAGACTAATAAAAGACGAATTAAGAAGTGTTAGTGAAACGATATCGGGAAAAGACGACACTTATCAGCTTTCAGCCCAGACGTTTAGAAAGATGGGCGGAACACTTCAAGGAGCAGCTCAGCTGGCCTTCAGCTACCCACTATTCCCAAACAGAACCCGACCGTTGCTGCTACCTTGACGTGGTGGTCGGGCTTGCCTATCGTGATGAACCAATCGAGCTATACTGGCTGGAACAATCGTTCCTCAAGGTCCTATCATGCCAGGCAGGTCGGTTGAAGAGCGGTAAGACTGAAAGCAGCAGACCCAAGGTCCGAAGGCAAAGTCGTACTGCTGACTGTACAGAGGTGTGATAACGGTAGGGTGTTTCCTTCAGACAACCAGCATAACAGAGATGCTGCCTTCCCACAAGGAGGGGTGGGGTTAGAAAAGATCGACCCTAAAAATGTACACCTCGCCTTATCCCACGGATTTCCGTCTCCGGCGGTAAGGTCCTTTAAAGAACGGAGCTAACACAAAAAGGCCGTGTGTGACCGACCTCAAGCAGTTGTCCCTTGGGCACTGCGGTCACGCTCTCAGGTCATTAAGACCACTTCTAACTCAATTTTCTTTTCAGGTACCCCTAGAAGAATCCTTCCACGGTGTGGGCAACCGGGAAGTGATAACTGCCCTCATACCTCTAACAGCACTCAAGACCACTGTATTCATAATCAATCTCCTTCAATTCCTACTATTCCTTCTACCTTAACTTTTAACACTAAACTTCCTCTCTCGGTTTCCTCCTCAAGTGTCACCATGGCCAACGATTCTAGAGCGCGAAACACTGTCCCAGGTCTAGTAAAACCTCGCTCCAAACTACACATTAGAGCCTTCAACGTACGTAACCTAAGTCAAATCGGTCAACAGGCCTCCTTAGCTAAGACCCTAGAATCTCGTACCATCGATGTATGCTGTGTCTCCGAAATACGCATACAGGATCCCAGTATGGTCATTCACTTGACCTCACCTCGCCAAAATGGAGAGCCAACGAAATACACCCTCCGTGTATCTGGCGACCCCATGACTAGTTCTCGTGGACTTGCAGGTGTAGGCATAGTACTTAGTATGACGGCAGAACAAGCACTTCTAGAATGGATCCCCGTTAACAGTCGCCTGTGTGTTGTCCGGCTGAATGGCTCCAAAATCTCAGCATGGATTCAAAAGGCTCGTTTGGCTTTTGCCAACTTACGTCACCTATGGCGAAGACGAGATATCCGTCAATCAATTAAGAGACGAGTATACTGTGCAGAAGTTCGTTTTGTTCTACTTTACGGTTGAGAAACGTGGCCAATAAGAGTAGAAGATACTCGTAAGTTACTAGTATTTGACCACAGGTGTCCTAGAAATATTGCTCGCATCTTCTGGGATCACCGGGTAAGTAATAGTGAGGTTAGACACAGGGTATTAGGAAATGATGATAAATCAGCTGATAAGGTCATGAATCTTCATCAACTGAGATGGTTAGGCCACGTGTTACGTATGCCTGAACACCGATTACCACGACACGCAATGCTGACTATTATTGAAGACAGGCGGAGGTAAGTTAGGGGTGGCCAAACGAAAACGTGGCATCAGTGCTTGAATTCACTAACTTCTAGTCTGAGCCATGTTGGCAGATGCAGACTACCTGGTTGGGGTTCGCGTGACTATCGTAACGAATGGTTGGAGACTCTGTGTGACATGGCTCAGAATAGATCACAATGGCTTAGGTATATACACTCTTTATTTTCTCTTAAACCGTGAGATTAAAGTTGCTTTATACCTTTCTTTGTACCAACTAATTTCTACTTCCTGTATTATATACTTATATTCAATTTTTCTTTTATATATTATTACCACTGAAGTAACTACTTCTATGAATTTGGTGTTCATCTTGTTGTTCTAATGAAGTGTGGCAACTTGGACCGATGGATATATGTGCATGATCCTATGTTGCAGATGACTGACTGATATCATTAGTTTCGTTTTTAGTGATAATAAATGCACTTCTCATTTTTAAATTTCAGTAATACAGAGGGTAGTCATCGTGTCTTTCATGGCGTGTTGATGTAGGCTATTCAGAGGATAAGCTTCAAAGTTTTTTTCTCAGTTGTTAACTGCGCTGTTATCTTAATCAATTTTTCAAAACAGTTAACTTGTGGAGGTCGCTTTTTTCTCCGAATAACTGTGAGAAGATAACGAATATTCAAGTTGAGGTCGCAAAAGTTCTTACCTTTACTTTTCGGAAATTTGTCTGTGAGCTAAACGTAGTATGGAGAACTAAACTAGTCGATTTCTTCTGAAAATTCCAGGCAAGAATACACAAAAATGTTGTGAATAGTTCACCAAAATTCTTTGTGTAAGAATACGTTTACAAAGCCTTTTAAAATTAAAAAAGTATATAGATCTCAAAAGGTGTTCGATTCCGTCAGCGTCAAAATCAATCCGATTGGCTTATCTTGTTCACTTTCGGCAACATTTTCTGTTGACTGCAGATAACTTTTTATTTTTGGATAAGAAGTTATCATAATTATATATTGTCGGTTTAGGCGTTTCATAAGTAGTAACAGTGGGTTCGCTCAAGTTAAACTATCTAACTTTCGGGGTTATTTTAGGTATATCGTTAATTAATGTAGTTAATTTTTTTCCTAAAAAGAGTGTATTTCTCTACCATACGGCGAAGAGATTTTGGGCTTTCAATCAACCGAAGGAATCGGTAATTTATACATAAAGTACAAAACTTTTGAACAACAACTGTAATCGAGAAAATAACCTTAAGCTCTTACAGATGTGAATGGAATCCATTGATCACTATATGACAAAATTTTTGTTACGAAATTAGCTAATAACCAATGTAAAACTTGTAAAAGATACATAATACTACAGCAAACTAAGCGAACGACAACGTAGATTTGTTTGAATGCAATTAGCTCAAGGTATTTTAGTCATCGAATTTAATCATGTTTGTTAGTTTTGATGACCTCTGCGAAGTTCAGCTCGGAATCGTCACAGTTTCGGGAACAGTTATAGAGCACTCTGGCAATTCACATGAACTTTTTTTAACCGTTTAAATATCTGTAGATATATACTTTTGTCTGAGAGTTGTCTTAGTTTGGCTCTACCTATTTGTATTTATTTGTGATAAAATTACTCTTATGAAGCAAGTGCTGATCAAGTTGTGTAGTCGAGAAAATTTTCATATGACGGTTCTTATTCTTATCTCAAGTTAAAATCTTTTTATTACTGCGATTTTGGATACTATATTGTCGATGTCAAACAAGTTAAAAGCAACGCAACAGTTGATATTACACGTCACAGCTATGTGAGCTTTGGTTCAATCTCTCTTCAAATAATAGATAGATACCAACTTCTCATGTATTATCACAAATAGTAAAGTATAGCCTTTAAGCAGTAAAGATTATCGTTTAGGAAAAATAATTTATCTATACCATTGTTTAACACATAAAGTATTTTGGTTTTGTTATTTAGTTTGACCAGATTGTAATTTGTTGCGCTTTTTTCATATTATTCAATTCTGTTAAATCTTCATTAAAAGCTAATATTGTTAATTTGGTTATATCCTTAAATAAATTAGTTTGACCTTTCATACATTCTGGTAATTTAATATGGTCAGATTCATTATTTCTACTATAAACTAGAAATATACTTAAACATTTTATTGTATAAGTAGTTCGTTTCATATTGGATGATGGTTCAATTAACAATGTTTGTTTACCAATCCAAAAGTTGAAATTTGACCAATTTCTCAATGATAAATAATGTTTCTTACCACTAGTTAATATTTGATCACCAAATTGTACAAAATTATATTTAGTTAATGTTTTCATTGACCATGGCCATGAATATTTTAAGCGTTTTAGTGAAAACCATGAATTTACTTGTGCACCATATGTATCAAATATTAAACAACATTTCAAATGACCAATTTGATCAAATAATTCAATCTTAATATTTTGGAAACCGAAAAATAAATTTGATGTTAAAAAATGATTGGTATTTTGTGTATGATAATGTGTTTTGGGTTTATACCAATTGTTTAATAACTGATTACGATACCAACAATGGCATAGGATGTTATATTTTAATGGAAATGCACTAGGTGGACTGGCTATTTCTTGATACCATAATTTGTTAAAAGATATATTGATGCCTGTATCAAGAATGAATAATAATTTGTTAGTCTGTGGTAATAAAATGCCATCAATTTTACTAGGCATTAAGCTATATGGTATGACATAAATACGTAGTTCATCAGCTTCATATAGTGTAAATAAGTAATTTGAGAATTTTGGTGGTAAGTGATAATTTAAACTATCTTCTTTACGTGAATTTATCGGCAATGTGTAGAAAAATTTTGGATAATCATGATAATTACTGATGTTTGGGAAATTATTATATTTCGCATTGGTTGCATTATTCCATTTACATCGGGAAATCGCTGAATTAGAACTGTCAACAATTAATATATAACCTCGTAGGAATTCACAATCTATTCGTTCACTCTTCAACTTTTCAACTGCATTATAATCAACGGATGATAAGAGGACAATATAATTTGGATCAAAAACTACGGAGAATGCTTCATTGCTAAAAAACATTTGTGTAGGAATACGAGAAAAAGCGATGTTAAATTTTATACTGCTATCTATATTCCGACAAAAGGCTGTAAACTTACTTTTTGCCTATATGTTTTATATCCAGTTTCAGATGAAGTTGAAGTAGAAATAAACTTCTGGTTACATGATATTTAGGATGTCAATTAATTTACTAGCTAGTAGTTTAAATTGTGTCAGACTAAGTTTCTGATTGATGGTCGACAAACTTTTAGTCACATATGTTGTACGATTTAAATTGAGAGTCGTGAAAATTTATTCCCGTATTACCTCGCTCAAAGTTTTCGAAATGCTATCGTTCGTGGCACGTTAGATCCTAGTTTCTACAATTTCCCTCAATTTCTGTTATATTACTATTGTGATAGGGGATTTTAAATGCTTCAGGATTTATTATGTAATAGTTTTGTAAGTTCCTTTTTTTAACAGCTTGTCGGAAAAATCCAGGAAAACTCAAATTCAGGCAGCAGGATATGTAACAATAAAGTTTAGGCCTGAAAAAACCATTTGCTTGTATAGGAGTTAGCTTGGGAAATCGTCTAGTCACATCTAGATTTATGACAATTTGCTTCCTGATTTTAGTTTCGAATCCTAAATATATTCAATTTCATCATTACTATAGTGATCGTCAACAACAATTGTTTTTAATAATTTCATTGAAAACAGTTGGTACGTTATTAGATAAGCACTGGTGGATTTTTTTCTGGAATCTAACTGTATGACTCAAACCGGCGGTGATTTAGGATTATGAAATCATTACCACCAATAAAATTACAGGTTTGACTTTAAATAGATTGATTAGGCTTTTCCTCTTAATGTTCGAATAAATAAAAACGTGTTTATTATTCATCAACAAGTAACATTTGTTAATAGTGATTTAATATGGACTCTAACTTAGTTGATACTATAATCTACCAAAGAAGAGTGATAAAACTGTATCAAAGGCCATATTGGGATATATATATATCGAACAGCCAATTTGTTCACCAAACCTCATTCTCAAGCCAACTCTTGCATCGGATTTAGCAATAAACTTCACTTGACTTTGACACCTCCTTCCTTAGTGGAATTAGTTTATAGATTAACACATTCCTGTGTTGCAACATTAATGTACTTGATTCACTGTTGGCACATGAGCTCCAACTTCTCACGTTGTGGTTTGCCTAGCCGAATGAAAAAAAAAACATTTTGGCTTAAAGGTTCTTCAAATAATAGGTTATCATCTCCTTCTACTCTCGATTGTATTCTTTTACGGTTATAAGTGAGATACTATATGGATATGAGGTAAAAAAAGAGATTAATCATTTGACTTCTGCATGTCAACAGATAAACAGATCAAGATTTAGTTACGAGTGTTCAAGTTATCTCACTGTATAATTCCGTAATTTTCCGTCTATGTAGATAAAAGTTGTAGTCATATTGACAATAATGCACATAAAAATCAGGAATGACTTCACGAATTTGATTCATACTAAATAAGTTATTGAAAACGTGCTAATTAATGTATGTAGTTTTTTTCAGAATTTGACAACTGAACCACGTCTGTGAAAAATACAAATATAAATCATATATATTCAAAAGATTATTGTAACCAAAAAGAGTAATACCTTGTGAGGATGAATTTAGCCTTTTCCAAAAGTTCATATTCATTCCAAGGATATGAAGTTTTTAAAAACAATTTATTGAACCATGTATACTTATCTGAGTATTGTGCATTGAATTTTAGTTGAACAACTGGATTATTATTAGACCATAATTCATATAGTACGTATTTATATGATCCACTATACCACTGGTCAAATAAATCATGTTTATACCAGCCATTTGATATCTTACTACTTATATCCGTGTCGCCAGTGGTATGATCAGTTGTCATTACATTAGAAGCTGTATTTTTATTTGATATGCTTGTAATATTTCTCCTAGAAAAGTACATGTTATTTATTGATAACCCAGAATGAGATTTCATTGCAAACATTAGAATTGCTCCATTGTGCATAGCAGAATCTTCCCAATCTGTAGCTTGAAAAGGTGCTTTATAAGTAGAATAGTAAATTCCATCTTTAGACTGTTTAATAGTTTGTGAATTATTGTTATCATTAATTAGAGATGGTTTATTTTCCCCGTGCCTTTCGTTTATTGATGTTAAATTTTCTCTTTTTCTGGATGTAGTTATTTCTGGGTAAGCATATTGTGAACTATTTAATGAATAACTTATACTGGCTGGCTGTTTAAATGTAATCGAAATAAAAAAACGGAAGTTATTACCTAAAAGTATTATATGTTATGAAGTACTTGATAAAATTTAAAATGACTAAAAATATTTCAATCTGTTTGGTATTAGTAAGTAGTCTGTCATATTACATCTAGCTGTATCAATATTGACAAAATATATGTTAAAACCAAGGACTTATGATTGTCTGTTTTATACCCCTGCATTAAAGTTTGACAGAATTGACTTCAATACAGCTTTTAAAACGTATAGAAATTGTCAAGGGAGAATTCTTAGGTTCATAGAAGCCTTGACTATTCGTAAATTCAAATACATCCCCCTTACATGTATAAAAAACAAACTATCGTAACCTTGAGTTTACCCTGGTAATCCTTCTGTCATTTTATGGCCTAGAGTAATGTAATGATTTCCTATTGTTTCCATACTATGTTAATTTTCGCTCTCCTCTATTTCTTTGTTTACATGAACCTTCATTTAATTGACCTTTATTAATTTTCATATGAAATGTCTTGATAAGTACATATGTGACCAGATTGTTCGAAATATATGGCGCGAATACATCACATTTTTCAGATCAACTCCGCCTTCTCATTGCTTTATCGAAATGTTTAGTTCCAATTGAATACATAAATGTAATTTCTATGAGAAATTACCGATTTATACTATTTTCATTAAAATAATTTTGTAGAAATATATTATTTTAAAAGAAATTCTGAGTATTACAGAGTCAATTTGATTTCAGATGTTTTTTAAGCATATTCCCAAAATGAAATGGTAATACAATTGAAAGTCGTCTGAAATATCTATTCACAAATATATCAAAATGATAAGGACTAGAAATGTTTGTTTGACTGCAACCGAATAAATTAAACGATTCAATAATCCTTTAGATTTCATTTTGAACAACGAATCAGTCTGATCAGCGTTCCTGTGATGAACATAGCTCATAGGTTAAATAATGAATGAGGATTTAAGTGGACTTTATATATATGTATATTGAAAGTAGAGTAAAATTCCAACATGAGAAAGGAATAAAATTTATTTTTATCTTTCTGTATTCACAATTGTTTGATCACTGGGTGGTGATCAATGTCATGCGTGTCAAGTCCTTCTTAGTGCTGATCGAATGCTATCGATCAAGTTGCAATGTGGCCACTAGTCTAGGTGGCTCGACACTGCGTGCACTATGTTGAGGTAAGATGGTGGTTGGAGGTGGTCTGTATTGTTCGTAATAGAAAATACATGAGACTTTAAACCAATAAACAAACATTTGTACAGAATTTAAATTTTGGAAACTTACTTTCAATAATTCAATGGAATTATTATTATTACTAGAACTTTCATGGACTCCTGAACTTGAATAATTTCTTTGAAGAGTTTGTTCGATTAATTTTAATAATATATTTGCCATTTTATTTAATTTCATTTCACAATTATTTTCAGTTCTATTGTTTAAATTAGATTGATTCATCATTATTGAGTAGTTTGTACTTAGGTTTTTTTGTAGCATTTGATGAATATCATCAGATTTTAAATATGAAGGTGAAATAGGAGATGAGTGATATCCTTTTCTGTTAAATTCTTGGTCCTGTGATTTATATTGAAGGGATCTATAGTAATTTGATGGAAGCGTAGAAGGGATTGTTGGAGCTGGGGTAGTAACTGTATTGATACGGTTCATCTTTGTTAAACCAATTTTCTTCCTACTTTCATTATATCTTAGTAAATACAGTAATTCTGTAAGCTTTACGTTTAATGCCTGATCATTTGTTCTGCTTTTGTAGTTTGGTACACTAACTGGACGTACCGGAGGTCGTTCTCCTTCATTATAATCACCATAATCGTAATAATATTCGTAATCATTGTAGGAATATCGATTTCTTGGTTGTGTCATACCAGAACGTCTCTGTTGATATGCATATTGATACCAGGGATTTACAGCGACTGTTTGTCCATTCACTTTTTCAATGGGCTTTCTCAAAGATAGTGATCTTCTAATTTCACTACAATATTTTGGAACTGATAAAAATAAATTTATTGAACGAAATCAATATTTTCTTCATCTAGCCATCGAGAAAAAAAATTCTAATCAAAATAAAAAGTCTCAGTAGAAGCAATTTTTGCTTTCGAAACGCATGACATCAAATAAAGATGGAAATATTGAGCGTGAAGAAATGACTCAGTGTTCTCTATGAAACCTGAACACTCTTGATACAATCCCGTGTGAAGTCGAAAGAAACTCACTGCCCAGAAGTTCATAGTTGGGACAAAACAGATTTTCAGTTCTCTCAAATGTTCAGTGGTCCTCCAGCTGTAGTCATTCTATAATAAGAACTAGCTATATATTTAGTAAGTATATGTAATCAAATAATCATTGTAAGTAGAGAATAATACGATAATCTTCCACATTAATAATAACAAGCATTCCATGACGGTTGATATTTTTTGTATTATAGACTTTAAAACACTGTAAGATTTAGGATGAAGAACACGTACCAACAGACTGATAAGATGGACTTCTGATCAAAATACCAAAGAAAGGCGATCTCAGCAAGTGTGATGACTACAGAGGAATCACTCTTCTCTCAATACCAGGAAAAGTTTTGTACAGGGTATTCTTAAGCAGAATGAAGGATTCCGTAGTCGCCCAACTTCGAGATCAATAGGCTGGATTCCGTAAGGATCGATCGTGTACAGACCAAATAGCAACTCTACGGCTCATTGTGGAACAATCAATTGAATGGTATTCATCACTCTACATCAACTTCATTGACTACAAGAAAGCATTTGATAGCGTGGACAGGACAACACTATGGATGCTTCTTCGACACTACGGAATTCCTATGATGGCGTAAACTGCCAAATCGTTCATGGAGGATAACTCACTCACTCGTTTGAGGTAAAGACCGATGTCAGGCACGTTTGCTTACTCTCGCCATTTCTCTTTCTCTTAGTGATCGACTGGATCATGAAGATATCAACATCTGGAATGAAGCACGGGATACAGTGGACAGCTAGGATGCAGCTGGACGATTTAGACTTTGCATATGATCTGACTCTTCTATCACACATGGAACAACAAATGCAGGAGAAGATGATCAGTGAAGCAGCAGCCTCAGTAGCAGTAGGTCTCAATATACACAAAGTAAAAAGCAAGATCCTCCAATAAAACAGAGTATGCACCAATCGAATTACACTTGACGGAGAAGCTTTAGAGGTTGTGAAAAACTTTACATATGTGAGCAGCATCATCGATGAACACGGTGGATCTGATGCAGATGTGAAGGCACGAACCAGCAAAGCAAGAACAGCATATTTACAATTGAAGAACATCTGAAACTCAAAACAATTTTCGACCAACACCAAAGTCAAAATTTTCAATACAAATGTCAAGACAGTTCTACAATGTGGGGCGGAAACTTGGTGAACTACGAAAGCCATTATCCAGAAGATACAAGTGTTTATTAACAGCTGTCTATGCAAGATACTTCGGATCCGTTGGTCAGACACTACCAGCAACGTTCTACTGTGGGAGAGAACAGACCACATTCCATCCAGCGGAAGATGAAATCAGGAAGAAGTACTGGAAGTGGATCGGACTCACAATGAGGAAAGCACCCAACTGCGTCACAAGGCAAGCCCTCACATGGAATCCTAAAGGTCAAAGGAGAAGAGGAAGACCAGAGAACACATTACGCCGAGAAATGGAGACAGACATGAGAAAAATGGACAAACGTCGGATAGAACTAGAAAGGGAGGCCCAGGACAGAGTGTGTTGGAGAATGCTGGTCGGCGGCCTATGTTCAATTTGGAGTAACAGGCGTAAGGAAATCAGTAATAAATCATTAAAAAGGCATTTAGATTACCGAGTTGAGCTTCTGTTTCCATTCTTGAACATAACACTCAAACTAAATAAATATGACATAAAAATCAACTAGAATAATTTTAAACTCTTTTTCCTTTAAAAAACAGGTGATAAATGTTATTTTCTTAAAGAAAATATAATCAGATTAAAACTCTTACTTTTCATGGGGCACATTACCTCAGTAGGATCGAAAAATTTTAAATCTAATTCTTTATAACCATTAAATTCATTTAGTATAAAAGCGTATTGTGAAGGTTTAGCTAATCTACGTACTCCTGGTTGATTAGCACCTGGAATTCCTATGCTGAACGCATAATTTACACGACTATGTAATTCTTGTATAATTTCGTCCGATTTAGTGATAATCTGTTTGTCTTTATGTTGTATTTGCTCTGGAATATTTCCATTTGTAAGTAGAATAAGCATTCGTGTAATATTTTGTGCATCAGCATTATTTGTTGAAATAAATCCAAAATTTAAAATGTTTAAAATTGCATGGGTTATATCTGCTTTCATTAAATTTTTATCAGGCTGTTTCATATTATGTATTGCCATTAATAAACTAGGCAAATTCACAGAATGTTCTGGTTTAACTGCAAAATGTATTTGATCCGTAAATAAGATGACAGAAATTAGTACACCGTCACTTTTGATAGATAACTAAAATAATTTAAATAAAATGAAATAATTTAAGACTAGAGAAAAGTTTGTAGAAAAACTAAAAAATCGAGTTGTTTTGTTTGATTAAAAAATGACTAAAATGAAACAGTGAAATAATAATTACATTTTTTAAAGTTTAGAATCGAAGTATTAGTATATAAAATAGCCTTATCTTGGACTAACGTCAGCTAGCGAACCGCTAAAAATAAAATAGGACCGGGAATCTACTTCATCCTATTTTGATACTCTTCAACAGTAGACGCTAATGACACCACCAGGAATCAAACCCAGATGATTTTAATCTGTAATGAGAAATGCCTGTAAATAGAACTGATCTATGATTATAACCTATCTAATAATTTACTCGGTAGTAAATAACTTTCAGGTAAATTTTTTGGAAAAATCATAATCGGTGGGGGGGTAGGGGTTACGCAGATAACACCAATGACATTTGATTTTCATCAGTCTTTACTACGGACTGACTGAAATTGGAGCTGTAGACTACTAGATGGTAACTCAAAAGCTTCAAGGTGGTGCGATTATTCTGAGACCTAATTGCTCATTGATAAGGAGTTATGAGCTAGTACGAAACACTTATCTCATGCTCTTTAATATTCATTATTGTTTCAATCTGTGTCAATTCACGATGAAAATTATCCCACAATTGTTATTATTTTCACAAACAAAACAAATTAACTGGACTAGGTACATTAGTTTCTGTCTTATAAAGTTTATTCCTTTAGAATTAGAAAGTTAATCCGTTCAGTCACTTCATTTTTCAGAATTCAGTTAAGTCGACTGAATATATATCACGAAATTTTCTAAATGTTTAATTAAAATGTGGTGAAAATGAATTAATGTTAAAATTTTAAAATGTTTATAAGCTTTCAATTTATTAGTAGATTAACATATAGCTAATAAAAACTAAGGATTGATCATACTAAATAAGCAGGATCTATGAACTTAAATATAGTTTCACTGATCATATGCAATTTCCATCAATGATACGATTTCAATGACTAAATGAAAGTTAATTAAAGTTGATAAAGATTACTGTTTTGTATAGCTATATTCGTAGATAGTGCATCGACGCTCATATTGTCCAATGGTACATTTAACTAACTTGCAGTGAAAGAATATACAAAATAGGTCATTTCTTATATCCTCTAATAAGTGATATAGATTGTATAGTCTTACCTTCAACACTTGAGTGGAAGAATAAAAGAACAAAAACTTATACTTCAAGGTTTTTCAGCTCATAGTAAATTTAAAATAAATAAATAAGTTTAACGGAATAACAATAACGATGATTTTTACAAATTAAGATACACTAATCGTTGCCCATCTGTAAATTATCCAAACGTCGTACAGTTTCCATGAGTATCATAAATTATTTAATGACTTTTTTATGTTACAGCACATCACATAACTCAAAATCAGTACCAGTGACAGCGATAGATTCCTCCTTTCATTGTCTTTTCCTTCTTCATATTGAGTTTTATTGTTAAACCATGATTTTCATTGTTCAATTTTATTTGGTTTATTTAAAACTATGTATCGTATGCATGGATTTTACTAATACTACTGCTACTAGGACTAATTACTATTATCATTACTTCGACTTATTTTTTCTTCAGTCTCGTGACATTGTTCTAGACGTACAGATGTAAACTACACCATCGTGGGCTGATGAACTTCCTTGTCATTTCCTAAATTCCTTCTGATTGATTGACTATTATACATCAGTGGGTATTTGCGGCTTTTTTCCAAAATCTATCTTGTGCATTGAGATATGAAGTAATAAACAATGACAATTGGTAGTTTTTCTTTATCCTCAGAGCTCTACCAGTCCGAACTAGTCAATAATGAGTTAATATTCTAACAAATGGATGAAGTACTGTAACGGATATGATAAAATTCAATGAACAGGAGAAAATACTGCAGACATTTAACTTCAGCATAATTTAACCGTCAAACTCAACAAATCAATATGGAAGTGTTGATCTTTCCTAGAACAAATTTATTTACCTTTTTAGCAAAATCACTCAAATAATCTTTCACATAGAATTCAAATGAAAATTCGTCAATTACTTTAGTTCCATCCAAAAGAAAAACAATATCCGCTTTGATCGACTGAAGACATTCTGTAAATAAATAAGGAGTAAATAAAATGAACTATTAGTAAGTTGGTTAAAACAAAGTAGTATTCTACTTTCATTGTTTTGTTGATCTAAAGTTTTCATTGACATTATCATATCTAGAGAAACAATAAAAGTTTCATAATCAAATTGTTCGACTCACAGGACACACATTCAATGAGCAGACAACTGGAGGTGAAAAATCTTGGTAAACGATGTAATTGGTATTAATATTGATTACTGACAATTTGTTATAATTTATGTGTCCATGTTTAAAACTTACTATGATTTGTTATGATAAACAATGGTGTAAAACAGTTAATTGTCATCCATACACTAATGGATTGACCTAATTAGCTTCTGATTATTCTAGGTAGTTGGAGAAATATTTATCTTCAGTATTTATATAACAGTTAAATGTCACGTTTTAGGGTACTACTTTTATTCAGTAAAGAATAAACTTAGTGAATATTGTTTGATGTCTATTTTTAAAGTCCGAACCGCCGTTTTCATCTAAAAATTTAACATATTTACTAATTTAATTACCCTCAAACAGAAATATACTGTTCATTTTCTTCTACTTATTTACATGATTGCTAGTGTAAAAAAAGTAAACTGGGTGTTTTGCTCCACAATTTTAAGCATTGTGTACTTAAACTGTAATAAATAAACATTTATTTGAAGTTTCTGTGATGTAATCAAGTAAAGATTTCCGAAGATTATTCACTTCTTTCATCATGGCTCTTACAGATTCTGCTCAAAACAATGTCCACAGTAATTAACTTCATTTTATTTTCTTTCAGTTAATAAATATTAATAAAACTCACGATGTGTTTATTCTTCGATAAATGTATAATTAAATTTGGAAAACACAGATCTGTTTGATGTTAAAATGTTAAGGTTGACTCAAATCAATATTGTTATTATGTAGTAATGCCATATGAATGACATGTAACTATAATATTTCTTGCTTCTAGAATGCTCTAAATGCTCTGATGTTCCTGTTGACATAAAAGTTCTCTTGAACTGTAAGGACTTTAACATTACTCACGTGTAGTTTGTCGACAGTTTAAGTGTCATTATGTATTAATCACCGCTTTATCTGTACCCATTCCTCCAGTCATATAAAGATTCAAAAAACAATTTATTCAGATTACAATACTAAATTGTTATCATTTACCCATCATTCATTCAGGAAAAAAAATTTACCTACCGTTTGATAGTGGTTTCATTTTCAGTTATTATTACAAACAACAGTACATTAATTTACTGGGTCAGTAGATTCAAGAAAGATATATAACTTTATTAATTGCGTTCTGGTATGAGACAGCTATAGTTAATGTATGTGACCGATTATTTGGGATTGATTGTTTATGCTACAAGAAAATTTCGATCCTTCGAACGTTACTGACCAATTTATCTTCAAAAAAATATGTTTGCCAATTTCTAATGAGGTTAGAATCAGTCATAAATTAATTTTCTTAAACTTTATGTTTATTGTGAGTTAGTTTGTAGGAAAGATAAGATAATCAGTATTGTTTTTTTCTACACAAAAATGGATATTCATTTTACTAATATCACCGTTATACTTCATTAATTCGTAGGAAGCCCAACTGTTTTTTTATCCAGAACTTGATCAGATAAGATAACAGTTCAGTTTAACAGCTAAAAACACATTAACTTACAAAATATACGATTGCTATTAAAACTAATTAAATACCTATGAAAAATGCAACTCATTTGATTAGAAATAGAATAATTTTGTCAATCCATAGCTTAGTAAAATTTTATTTAAAAAATCTAAATATCAATGGATATTATCTTAGAAAATAAAATTTCTACTGCGCACGAGATCAATAGGTCCTGGGTTCGAATATCGCGGGCTGGGATCGTGGATGTGAACTGTTGAGGAATCCTACACTAGGAAAAAACGGCCATCAAGTGTTTCCAGGTCTACCTTCAATTGACTCATGAACTCAACTATTAAAATACACTTTCAATTGTTCTAATATTTAAATTATGCAAAATTAAATGATTTTTATCACTTACCTTGATTCTGTATTATAAAAGATTGTAATAGATGAGGAAATATACTCCATACTAAGATTTTTAACCATAACATTACTTGTTTGCTTAAATTAGTCAGTTTAAAATAAATTAGTTTTACAAGAAACTGATAACATTATAACTGTTAATAAATAAATATTATTTAATTTAATCTGATTGGTTAAATTTTCGGTTTTTAAAAAATAAAAACAAAACGTCTTTTTCAATAATACTGGTATTTTTAAAAAAAAGGAATATTTATCTGTATTTATGTATAGACTGAGTATTATGTAATATCTCAATGTAATTTATTTATTATGTTGATTGAATTTAAAACAGAAACACGTTTTCTGTAAACGAACAAGAAGAAAGAAACAAAAAAACAGAACAAACAAACAAATTTTGTTTTTCAATCAAAAATGATTTATCATTAGTTCAATTAATAAATCATTTTTGAGCGGTGGGGTTTGTAGCTTATTAACTCTACTCTAGATATGCTTGCTGACAAGTATAAGAATATAAATTGATTAATATAGTAAAGTATAACGTAATCATTTATATGATGACATTAGTGTTAAATTACAGGTTTTGTTTTTTCAACACGACTAAGCTTGGGTATATAATACATTCTAATTAGTGATTGATTTGAGCCTCGTTTAAAATCTAATTTTTCCAAAATTCTTTGAAGAAACTAGAGTTTTCACTCTGAACATTAGGACTAAGCGAAGAAATGTGACAAGAAGTAAGTGAGGTAGTAAGATACCTGACTCAGTAAATTAAGGATCTTTCTTAGCTCGTCACAAAATAACAAAGGGCTTTAAGGAAGCTGTGAGCTAATGAAAACTCAGTCACACTCAGCTGAAAGAGGGAGCTCCAGAGTAATTCTGTATTGAAAATATAACATTCAGAAGTTTGAGAAGTTACTTGAACATAAAAAATTACCAAACCGATGAAAAAGAAATCTTATTCAAAAACTAGATAACTAATGTGTGGGCGAGAATGATAATGCTTGGTTGTTTTGCTGAGTCAGACATGTAGATAGTGTGAAAGGTGTTATATGTGTTATATATATTCCCCTATCCTTAGTATGTATTGACTGTTATTGATTGACTGTTCTTTGTTGTTGGATGGTGTCGGATTTTGGTGTGGAAATATATTGATGTTCTAGTCAGGCTAATCTTGTGTTCTTGATTTGAGTTGTGTTGAAATCCTGCAGAATAGACACTGGGAGGGAATCTAGTGTTGGTATTCGTCTACGGTAAATTAACGTCTCACATACGTGTAAAAAGTAAAAGGACTGCTATAACAAGAAACCTTAGCGTTATAACAAGTATCCTACCGTTTATAACAATAACCGAACAATAGGACGCATCACAGTTTCGTCAAAGTTAAATAACTAACTTAAGAGAACCAATGGCGAACAAAGTCTAACTGGCCTGTTTTTCTAGTTTTTACAGTAGATTGAAAATGAACAAACCTTTTCATTTGTTTGATTTCGTCAATGCTAAATTGGTAAAATTATTTCTATAGTATCAAGTAATTGACAGCATACATGTATGTTAACTTAGTGTTATTGATATGTCATATATATGATGCAAGTTTATTAACCATATTCTTAACACAAGATATTAAAATAGAATCGGATAATCAAATTAAATGAATTACTTTGCCAAACCCATCAATTTTAAGAAAACATTACTTTTCCAGTATGAAATAATCTATGTGAATGTTCAATGATAATAATGGGATTTATAGATATTCTTCCGTTTGAAGTAAGTGTTTATCACATACTGATATCACATGGAAATTTAAGGGTTACTCACCTCTTCGCCTGTAGCTCTTCTAGGGTTACTGTCATTTTTAAGCCCAAGTAAAAGAGTAGGGTTGTACATTGGATCAGCAACCTTATCCCGTAGAAAACAACCGTGCTAAAAAAACGTTAACCAAGATAAACAATTACACTACTTAAATTATGCCTAGGGAGTTGAAGGTTGTTTATTTAGGAGAACTAGAAGGGTCTCATGGTGAAAGCCTTCTTTCGAAACATTGACAAACTCAACGAATTCAAGATAAATCTCAACAACAGGTTCCAAGCCTTACAGAATCTATTGAAAGAAGAAGAAACTACAATGAATGACAACTGGAAAGGGATCAAAGAAGCACTATTTTCAACATGTTGGGAGGTGCTAGGTCACAAGAAGCATCGTCGCGAAGAATGGATCTCTATAGAAACTTTGACCGAATTCATGAAAGGAAGAAGAAGAAGACATCAATTAGCAACAGCCGAACAAGGAAAGAAAAAGTCAAGGCACAACCTGAGTACACAGAAGCAAACAAGCAAGTGAAGAGGACGAGCAGAAATATGTGGAAGAGAGAAGGAAATACGAAACAAAAATATGACACAAGGAAGAAACTGGAGGGGAAATATAATAATTCAGAGAAACCAGTAAAAAGCAACGAAGCCAAGACAGTCACTGAGATTCAAGAACAGAGGAACAGACGGGTAGAACAGTTTAAGGAACTCTTAAATGTGTCAGCTCCACTGAATCCACTGGACATAGTAGCAGCATCTGCAGAACGTCCTATAGGTGTCACTTCACCAACGATCGAAGACATCAAGATGGCCATCAGACAAATCATGTGTGGGAAAGCAGCAGGACCTGACAATATACCAGCTGAAGCATTGAAGTAAGACATAGAAGTAACTGAAAACATGCTTCACGTCTTATTCATAAAGATTTGCAAGGAAGAACAAGTGTCGATGGGCTGGAAAGGATACCGAAGAAAGGAGATCTGAGCAAATGTGAGAACTACAGAGACATCACGCTGCTTTCCGTACCAGGAAAAGTATTTAACAGTGTCGTTCAACCGAATGAAAGACACAGTAGATATCCAACTTCGAGATAAACAAACCGGATCCCGTGAGAATCGATCGTGCACGGACCGAATCGCGACATTACGGATCATCGTTGAACAATCAATGGAGTGTTATTCGTCACTATTTATCATTATGATGTGTTTGACAGTGTGGATAGGAAAACATTATGGAACCTTCTTTAAAACTATGGTTTACCTGAGATCGTCAACATTATATGGAATCCATACGACGGACTATACTGCAAAGTCGTGCATGGAGGACAGCTACATTCCAAGTGAGGAAAGGAGCCATACAATGTTGCTTACTTTTCCTCTTTCTTCTGGTGATTAACTGGATTATAAAGACCTCCACATCTGAGGGGAAGCACGGAATACAATAGACAGGTTGGGTCAACTAGTCAATATAGATTTTGCAGATCATCTAACTCTCCTACCACATACATATCAACAAATACAGACGAAGACAACTAATGTTGCAGCAGCCTCTGCATCAATAGACCTCAACATACACAAAGGAAAAAGCAAGATCCTCAAATACAACATGGAGAACATCGAACCAATTACACTTGATGGGGAAAATTTGTAAGATGTGGGATGTTTCATGTACCTGGTCAATATAGTCGATGAACATGGAGGATCTGACGCAGATGTAAAGGCGAAGGTTGGCGAATCAAAGGCAGCATTCTTACAGTTGAAGAAAGTTTGGAACTCAAAACAACTATCAACCAATATCGAAGTCAGAATCTTCAATACGAACGTGGAGACAGTCCTACATTACGGAGCTGAAACGTGGAGAATTACCACGACCTTTATCAAGAAGGTACACGTATTTATAAACAGATGTCTACGCAAAATACTCAACATTCACTGGCTGGATATCATCAGCCACATCCTACTGCGGAAGAGAACAAACCGACTTCTAGTTGAAGAGGAAGTTAGGAAAATATGTTGGAAGTGGATAGGACATACATTGAGGAGATCACTAGACTGCATCAAAGGGCAAGCCCTAACTTGGGATCCTGAAGGGAAACGGAAAAGTGGCAGACTAAGGAACACACTGTGTCAAGAATCCGAATCAAACTTTAAAAAAGTGAACAGCAACTGGAAAGGACTATCCAGGACAAAGTTGGATGGAGAATGCTGGTGACTGTCCTCTGCTCCTCCACGAAAGGTAACAGGCGTAAGTAAATTCTCTTATATGAAGAGTCTGTTATCTCTCTCGAAATGCTGTCATATGATCACGCGTATATAGCCACTATTAGGGAAGTCCTACTCACTGCCTTCTCGCTGTGAGGGTTGTGTTTATGAAATAAAGAGGTTGAAAAGCTGAAATTCGAGTTGGTGGATACGAAGGATTCACCTAGGGGATCAGAGAGACCCTGATTTAAAACCAACAGTGAACATATGCTAAGTCTCTCTTCACCGGAATGAATATGAAGGGCAAGCCTAAAAACTGTGAATAGCGGCCTGTCCTTTAGGTCGCTGTTTTCAGATGCGGGGTTTAATCAAAACAAATGGAACTCTTCATGAACCTTTGACACGAAATGTCAGCGTTAGCATGGTTGGTTATGATCTCTTAAAACTACTAAGCTTTTGTAAATTCACCAACACTAATTAATCTGTTCATCTTTTAAGCAATTAACAATTGAATTTTTATCCTAATGAAAAGGGTCTGTCACAGTGTTTTACACTGAGTTCATTTAGTATATGTTTTCGAACGCGTTAATACATCATTTTCATCGTTGTCAAAATGAATTTCTTTTTCACAAGCTTGTTTACATATGATATTCATCTAGTTCATCAAGTGTAAGAGAAAGACAATGAAATAAATAACAATGTAGGACTGAAGACAAGATCTCTGATACCAGTGAGAAATGGAAAACCACTGAGTAACTGTGTCACCATCTATCAATTTTATTTAATATGTATACTATACAAAAATACTCTAAAACTTTCAGCAAGTATTCATTATTTTTGCACAAAACTAAATAAAAGGAATAGCAGTGAGTGTATATTTTTTTCTGAATTTGTGCTCATTATTTACACAAGCAAATAATTAATAAATGTGGTCACCTATAGTTCAAAGGCGATATGAAGACGACTAAAAAGTTAAAAACGGAAGAGATAAATTGAGAGCAAAATATAAATAAATAATTTACGAGGATAAAGAATAAGTGAGCAGTATCAATAATCATAGTTATCAGTATTATCATCACAATATTTATCTCATTATACACAACAACAAAAAAAAAACAAATCAAGTAGTGAACAAAGTAACTAAGAAAAAAAAATACAGTGAACATGATCTTGTCCTTTCTTTAAAAGAAAGAAAAAAGAAACACCATCGTTAATAGTTCATATTTGTGCAAGATTATTTTAATACAGATAACTTTAAAGAACGAATGGGGAATTTTATTTAGTAGCAAAAGAGTAAACAATAATATGTATATATAAGTATAGGTAATTTTCATTAGCAGTCAACATTTGGTTAGTTAAAAAAGTACTACTTTTTATTTCCACGCATCATACCAGTATTGTATAGATTATGCCCAGCAGTCCCATTCATATTATAACTTGGTCGCATAGGTCTATTATTAAGGGCTGAATGATATGGATGATGTTGCATAGAATGTGGATTATTATACTGCATCATATTTGGATTATTCTGATTTATATTTCCACCAGAAGGCATCATCCAATGACCCATATTCCCACTATTATTAATATCGATGGATGATGAACCAGGAGCAGAAGATGAAGAAGACGATGGTGCTACACCCATGTTACCATAATCCATATTCATCGGACCCCAATTCGATGGTGGTTTAAAATTTGGTGCTTTATTATGACGCTAGATGAAAAACAAACAAAAAATGATCTCATTTTAAAAACATAACCTATACGATTGTATTGAAGCTCAAAGAAATAAGTTTTCAGTAGAAAATAAAGAGGACAGAAATAACAACACATTTATGTCAAAAACTTAGGACATTACACCAAACTACTTATGATTAATTCAAAGGATACTTATATTACGAGATTATATCAATCGAAGTTCCGCTGAAAAACAGAGCTATTTGTCAGCCTGCTAACAGATGATTAGTAAATTTCCCTCATAGCATAACTTCTCTATATCTTTCTATTATCATTAAAAAATATACATAAATATTAGTTCAATAATATTAAAATTATTTACTGATTAAGATTAAATATCAACATGAAGTTAATGGATTACAAAATTTGTTACGGTTTACCAGATAAACAAAATATCTTTTGTATATAATTAAGGTTCAATGCTATTATTATCATTAGGTTAGTAGATATTTTGAATTAAAAGGAAAATCTATTAATATTGTAGTGAACATAAAAAATGGTAACCTAGGGCATTCGTTTTTTACTGCCTTGAACCATAATATTATTCTATAGAACGATAACACAACTGAACAGATAAATTCCACACACACATACACACAAAAACAAAAACACCACAAATCAGGAAAAGTAAATTTTAATGATTTTCTTGATTACCAAATTTGAAAGATTGAACATAAAAATAAACTAATCAATTAGTAGCAGTAAATATTAGGAATTTATATTTTAAATCAATCTAGCGAAGATATCCGTATAATCTTATAACATTCACGGTCGAGTGATTTTATTTTTTTTTAGAAAAAAAACACAGATACACATAAAAATATTTATGATTACAGTGTAGAATAAAAAAAGAAGGCCATATACTAGCAATTGGGATTTCTACAAAAGATTTGTACTGAGAAAAACACACAAATCACTACAGGACAAACAAATTATATATATATATATATATATATATATATATATATATATATATAGTTGAGTTATATTAGCTGTGATTAGTAGTAAAAATATTTTGTTTTGGGTTATTTATTACTCACTTTGTTTTTGTGCCAATATTCCTAAAAGAGGATCATAAGATTATAATTATTTATTATTATGTATTATGTGCTAGTCTTATAATGGAGTGATAATTAAATGATTACTTAGTATAATTTCTTAACTAATAAGTTACATGTTTGTAAACACATCAGTCAGTCACAACGTAGAACTTCGTACGTACATACATCAGTTCAAGCTGCCATACCACATTAGCACAGAGATGAAGTTGTCGATTCAAATCCCATAGTAGTAGAAGTAGTAAGAGTATAAGCATTATGTGAAAGATTAGGGTTTGAAGATGTTATTGAAGGAGTACAATACAGTGAAATAAATTTGGAAAGAGAAAAAGTATAGGGACATAAGGAATTCAGAGGATTAGAATTTGGTAGAACACAAAGAGTGGATGCACCTTCGCCATTGCAAAAGATTTTGAGCAATGTCATTCTAAACACATAATCTATAGTCTACCAACGTTTAGGTAATCCAGTAGTATCTATAACCCTTATAGAAGTTTAACATGAAGTTGAGAAAATGTATTTGTACTTGGTTACCGAGTTGTACTTTATTACTACACTAGAACATATAGCATAATAATATGAAACTATCAAAAAAGGATAAAACAAAAGAGAATTGGAAGTATATGGACACGTTCCTTTGGATTCACACACAATGAAATATATGAAATTTAGTGCAATTCAATAAACAAGTTAAGATTCTGAAATCTAGCTTTGAGCTAAACTTGTAGTGTAAAAGGGCTAGAAATATAACTCATGATTTAATGGTTGAAAATCGTATACTTGAACTATCAAGACATTTGTCTATGGGAGAATAAACAGGAAAATGTTACCAAACTTACGGTGACATTAAATAACAAACCTCAACTCTATAGTACACCAATAAAATATACTTAAAACATCTAGGAATATCTTTTTGAATGTACTAAATAACAATAGATTGATAGAAACCAATATTTCCTTAACAATAACAGACATTTATATATGTACACGCGATAAGCTGTTAACTCCTTGAATGATCGTCAACCGATTTTATCATATGGCTATGACTATATGAATCTAACTACCAAACGTATGTGTTAACTAAAAGCAACGACTGTTCACACTAGTATTAAAAATATGAGCTTCTCAAACAACTTTTCCTAGTCAAAGTTAAAAACACTTATATACCTGTACATCCAGAAATATTAATTTCATTAGTTGGGTAAGGAAAATAATATATTTTGTTGCCTTGGTTGGTTTAGATTACCTTAATAAATACAGTGCATTGTGAACACATACAAATTAACCTGTGCTTGATAAAACGACAATTTTTCTACCCGAGTTTTGTTTCGTGCTGAACGAATCTGAGCTATGTGTGACGCATGTGCATAATAGTTTGTTTGGTCAGGATTTTACCATGATTACTTGACTACAGAGCAATCGATTCAAATTGTGAAGTTACTCATTTGAACAAGCTAGTAAGAACACATGGAACAGTTAAATGAAGCAGAACGATACCAAGTAAACAAATGACAAACAGATGCATAATATTAAAATTTCCACTGAGCAACAGGATGAGCGGAATCCATTTAAGCAATACTAGAAGTACACTATCAATTTACGAAGATGTAATGTTGATTAGATCATACTAATTTTTTAAATAATCTCATCTTCGAATACACATAAATGGCCTACAACTATAACAATGTCAACAAAAGCTTATCCTTTAATTGAATTAATTTTGTGCAATCTATCATCAATTGATTCGATTTTACAGAAAGAATTCGTTGAGTAACTAGGAAAGGCTTATTTGAAAATCATTGTTTTATATACTTTGCTGCTAAACAAAACTTCTAATTGCTCTATAACCTTGATTTCCGAAATATGATTAAACTTCTCTTATTTGATTTTGACGGCATCAAAAGTACGAAGTTTTATATTTTAGTAACATCCGTCTTTTAGCAACTACAGTGTGTTGTCTTGTTTGTTGCCTTTTTAAAACTTGACATATTTAGGAGTTCGAATATGAATACAGTAAGAGTAAAAAACCTCTTCACTGACACACATGAGTTAACAAGAGGCATTCAGTCTAACCAATAACTTGTGATCAAAACGCAACAACATAACATTTCAAGCCATCACAAGGAAGTAAATTTTGATTACTGAGAAAAGAAATGATGTTTCAACAGCGAATTACAAACACATAGGAATGTACTTTTGAACAAATATGTATTACTGCTGCAGCCTTGCTTCATAGAGTATAAACTACTCAAAATGGAGATTATAACAAACTCTTAGTATTGAAGATGATTTAGCAAAAGAAATAGTAATAAAAACTGAATTTACTGGATTATTCATTCCGCCACGTGGGAGACGATTTGAATGACCATGTACGCCGCTAGAATGACTGTAACTGAAAATTATCAGAAATAAAAATAAAAAAAAAGAAAATTAGTCAATACAATTTTAATTGTATACGAAAATGAAGAATATTACACAACCACAACGGCAGATGGTCGAGTGATTGTAACGACAATTTGTAGATCAACAGGATATTTTGAAGACAATTTTTCGTGAATTTAGTAAACAAAGTATTGACTATTTTGAATGATAAGTTAGGACCACATATGCAATTATAAACAGTTTACATACAAATATAATAATTATTGCATGAAAACTGATGACAATTTTTAAACAAATTAAATATATGCAAACAGAAAACATAGACAAAGCACTTAGATACGCATTAAACAATATGGGGATTTCTTTTTAATATTCTATGCAAATTCCTAAATAACGCTACCGAAGAAATTGTAAATCAAAGGTTAAGAAATGAGGTGCAGAAAACAGTTACTGCAGCCAAACTGAATGAGATTTTCTACAATCGTCCGACAATGAAAACTATCAACAAAGACAAGTTGCCTGAATTCGTCACACCTATGTGTATTCGTCAATTTAACTGCTCTTGCCGAGCCAGTTATATAAGAGCACATAATTCAGCAAGGCTATCGTCACATGTTGGAACACCATATATCCATCTTGGTTGAACAAAGGACAGGTAACAGTGATTAAGAGTTCTATTCTCGATCGCTTGATGGACACAGGAGATTTAAGTGACTTGAATAATGCTTCTAAGATCATCCACTATGTTCCATCAAATTTATTACAGGGCTTACGAGTTCGTCTTTTGCATACTGCTGAAGCGATCAGAATCCACTTTCACAAATCTAACCTTTGGATCCAGAAGAAGTCTGCACAAACACTCTTCCTACCTTGGCCATCAGTATAAGAAAGAGTTTTGATAAACAAACAATTTTCTAATTTCTTTCACTTTGTGTTTTTACGTAATCTTAACAACCGTCTCTCGATTCTCACATAGATTCTATAATACTGACCTTTCATCAAAGAAAATTGGTTAATTCTTTTGATATACTATGTAGTGAAGCAACTAACTTTTCAAATAATTACTTCCGTTATTATAATCCTCTTTTTTTCCAATTACTCAACATTATTTTAGAATCACTGTAGCATTACATAATTATTACGTAACTTAATTACTTGATGAGGATTATTTTATTGATCAGAGGGGGTTTTGTGGAGAATTTAGTATTTTCACAGTTGAAATCATGAGTCAATTGAAGCTAGACCATTTTATTGTTGTAAATCATATAAATGTTAATCTAGAGGTACGAAGAAAAACTAATTGAAAAGGAATTTGTTCGTTCATCTTTTTTCTAAATTTTAAAATGGGAATTTTTATTGTTCTGTGCATTGGTGGAGGGTTATTCAAAGTTTAAATCAAGCAAACTTGGATAGGCAGCCAACACTGTTCTTTGTGTAAGGAATTTACCATGAAATATAAAAATGGTCTGTATACTACTTATTACGTTCCATTTCATTTAACAAACCTTTAAAAAAACAGATTACAAACTGTTAGCGTTTAGCTTTCATACATATAATAACAGTATGGTTTAGTTCAATCCAGTGTCTAAGGATGGATAAGTGATCAAATATCCCTTTGGATCATATAAGGGAAACGGAATGAATCCCAAGTGTACGCTGTATGTTTAGAGAACAGTTGATCTAGTGCTTTAAAGCAGAACCTGCTTGATACTATAACATATAGTTTGACCGATAGCAATGTTCTGGTGAGCAAATAATTTAATAATGTTCACAAAAAATTATTGTTTCAAGAAACCTCAGATAATTTCTCAGATAAAAAGGAATTATAAATATATATCAAAAAGTTATTTCGAATTCACATCAAGCTGATATTGTCAGATATTTACTCAAAGTTTAACAAAATGACTAATAGATTTTTTAAGATTGTTTCGATATTATTTAATTTGCGTACGGGGAAATACAAATAATCATAATAAGGTCAGTCAGTCAGTCACAACATAGGACTTCGTACGTACGTACGTACATCAGTTCAAGTTGCCATACCACATCAACACAGAGATGTAGTTGCCGATTCAAATCCCATAGTGGTAGAAGTAGTAAGAGTATAAACAGTAATCCGAAAGATTAGGGTTTGAAGATGTTATTCAAGGAGTATAATCCAGTGAAATAAATTTGAAATGAGTAAAAAAAACTGGATAACTTATTTCAACACAAGAGAGCACAACTGAAAAGGAAGACATTAGTAAGAACTATACGAGATGACAAATTAGAATACAGGAAAACTGAATTTAATCTTATGTACCAAAGGTCAGTGAATAGGTTTAACGGAACGCGGCATCTATGTCTCCTCTCTCTCTCTCTCTCTCTCTCTCTATATATATATATATATATATATATATATATATATATATATATATATATATCATGCAACTAAACCTTCTATTTTATGTAAAATGAAATTACAAAACACATAATAGGAAAAAATAATAATTTTCAAAAACAAAAAAATTCCACAAAAACATTTACACTAACTTATCAGAATTGCTACGTTGAACAAGACCTCCATGTAACATCATTCCATTTACACCTCCGCCTAATCGAGAGTAACGCCCAGATCCAGTTTTCTTTTCGAAACGCAAAGAGCTCTGTCGTACTATGTTGGGCTTCATATTAGTACCCGATATTGATCCAGTGGAATTGAGACACTTCATACTTGTAGGAGATATAGGGATAATCTTACTTGACACATTTGAATTAGATGTAGGCACCGTGGTTAACAATTCAGTAGGTGATGCTGGTGTGTCAGTATTAGCTTTAATACACTAATTAAATGGAGAATAATAAACAAAAATGAATGAATTAAAGTCTGTCAGATATGTAACTTCTTATACAAAGACGCATCTATTAGACAGTAGTTATTTATTTTTGAAAGTTAGGAAGCAGACTAACGATTACATTGAGATCAATGTGTTATTTTTAATGATCTTTGACAAAATGACACTAATAGTAAACACCACCAAATATCTATTTCACAGGTACACACACTACAACAAGTTTGACTATGAAATGTATCGGTGAAATTTCAACAATTGACAGAAGTACAGAAGAAAAAATTTAACAAACAGGGAGAAATTAAGATAAACACGAAATATTTAGAAAAACAGATGCACCCATGCAATTATAGTTGATCATAAGAATCTAAAGAACTTAAATAAAGATTTTTAGAATTATGAGCACCCCATACAGAAAGTTAACATTCGTCTAAACAGATCGAACCAATATTAGCAATTATCTTTCACTGACATTTTCTCATCGTAGTAAGCCTTCCAATCTTGGACTCAAAAGACGACCAAATCACTAACACTCGGCTTAAACCTTTGCATCTCAGTCAGTCATCTACGTTGTAGGATCAAGCACATATATCCATCGGTCCAAGTTGCCAGACTTCATTAGAACAACAACATGAACGCCAAATTCATAGAAGTAGTTGATTCTATCGTGATAATATATAAAAGTGAGACTGCATATAAAAATATAGTACAGGAAGAAAGGAAGATATGAAGCAGTTTTAATCTCATAGTTTAAGCGAAGACAGAGAGTGTATGCACCTACTCCATTGTGATCGATTCTCAGCCATGTCACAAAGAGTCTCCAACCATTCGTTACGATAGTTACGCGAACCCCAACCAAGTAGTCTGCATCTACCAACATGGCTCAGACTAGAAGTTAGTGACTTCAATGACTGATGCCACATTTTGGTTTAGCCACCACAAACTTTCCTCCGACTGTCTTCAATACTAGTCAGCATTTTGCGTCGTGGTAATCAGCGTTCAGGCATACGTAACACATCGCCCAACCATCTCAGTCAATGAAGACTTACAACCTCATCAACTGATTTGGCGACATTCACTAATACCTTGCGTCTAACCTCACTATTACTTCCCCAGTGATCCCAGAAGATGCGAGTAATATTTCTAAGATATCTGCGGACAAATACTAGTAACTTACGAGTATCTTCTACTCTTATTGGTCACGTTTTACAGCCGTAAAGTAGAACAGAACGAACTTCTGCACAGTATACTCGTCTCTAAATTGATAGACGGATATCTCGCTTTCGTCATAGATGACGCAAGTCAGCAAAAGCCGAACGAGTTTTCCGAATCCGAGCACACACTTCGTCAGACACCAACACATTAGGGTTGATCAGACTTCCAAGATAAGTGAAGCTGTTAACGCGTTCGACTACTTCACTCCCTATTCTTAGTTCAGGTGTTGACGCCGGCCAGTCCTGAAGCAACAATTTTCATTTAGAGGAGGAGAAACGCATCCCAAACATCCTTGCATTGTTGCTCAGTGCTATCAAAACACTCTGCATTTTGTCAGCGTCTTCACCAAGCAGGATAATGTTATCCGTGTATTCTAAATCGATAAGTAGACCTCTTGGAAAGAGATTAGTTCCTAAAAATTCAGTCAACGAGAACATTATTTCCAGCAGTAGGTCTATGATGAGGTTAGACAAAAATGGAGATAGTGGACAGCCTTGTCGGACACTATTTGAGGTTGCGAAATCAGTTGACAGCTCTCCATAAGCTCTCACTCGATTGGTAGTGCTCGAGTAAATAGCCTTCAGAAGGTTTATGTACTTCTGAGTTACACCTTTCAATGACAGACAACTGCCATAGAACCTCTTTTTGCTTCTAGCTTTAAAATAGCCCAGTAAATGTTTTGATCATACATTAGCATTAATTTGGAAACAAGTTTTACCGAATAGTAATCTTTATGTACGAAATAATTACTTATTCGATAGAACACGAGCTCTTAACTAGAAACTGTATGCCTATCTAGGGTTGATTGTTAAGATATTTTAACAATATTCTGATCAAAAATGATCCTCTGATCAGAGCAACTGAAGAAGAGTTATTGTTCGTTTATATTAATGAATAATAACATCTATTTATAACTCTAACGTGTAAAAAGAATACAACAGTATTTACAGTAAGAGTGTAAAGGTTCAATATTACAGTTTTTAAAATTTTATCAGATAAACCACCCAAACTGGGATGTTACAGAAAACTAATCACTCGTAACTTCCTATTCATCTACGCTATATGTTATATTTTCTATCAACTGAAGAAAGCGCTTTTTATGGAATTCTTAGTAATACACGCAAAAGAATTATTGCAAAACTAAACAACAAACCTCAAATTGTTGTTTGCCTTGTTTCCCTTCTGAATCTGAGATAGACTGAGTATTCGAATGAATCATTGGAGCACTTGAATTACTTAAGGATATATTTCTTTCATCTTTATCATACACTGGTTCTTTATTTCCACTGGTCCATACAGATTCTTCATTATTTTCAATCGTTGTACTCAAATCCACTTCAGAATCTGATCTACATATATTGTTCTGACCATTTTCTGATTGGTGCGGTGTCGGTGTCCCACTGAACAAAAGTTAATCCGAAAGTAATTATTCCAGATAATAAAAAACATGTAGTGCGAAAAATGAAACCAACAGAAGAATAGGATTGTAGAGGATTGATTATTATATGGGGTAGTTCAAATAGTAAAGATGACTCAATAATACACATTTTTCGACTGGCTTCTGGGTTTGAGTCCACTTCATTTGCTTTAAATAAAGTAAGTCAATCATACAACAGGCTTTGCTAATTAGGTGAGCTTCAAATTATGAAGCACGAAATTACGTATTCGTGTTGAATTTTACTACTTTAGCTACGTAAGAAAATAAAGTTTCGTCAATGATGTTAAGCAATAGGACCCTCAAAAATGCACTAGTACAAGTGAGTGCAAGGTGGGACTACGATACTTTTCTATGTATCAACATCTTCGTATTCTCTTATAAAAAAGTACTCACCATAACTTCCGATTCGGCAGGGGTATTATAGAGCAAGTATGAACAAAAAATGAACATCTGTTGCTTAAACTGTGTTGGTTGATGAAGAGGTTTTATTTGGATGTGTTGAAGAACAGTGATATCAAAAACCATTATTGTATATAGGCTCTAAGCTTGTAAAGAAATCGGTAGAGTATCGACCACCTTCTATCACCGAAATGCATTTAGTGACGTTACTCGATGGCTTTCCAGTTTAGATCACCAAGTTAAAGGGATGGAGGGCAGTTCTCTAAGGAAGCAATCTGTTTCCGTTTAGGCATTCGCGCAGTATCGTACAACTAATGACAACAACAATAAAAAGCCGTTAAGAGGAAAAACAATGATGTCTTTGATATTCATATGGAATACAAAGAGTCCAAGAATTACACTTTTTGGATTAGTTAGTTGAGAGTGAAAATATAAAAAAATTATGCTAGCTTCGTTATGTTGATTATTACCATGAGAAAATCGAATAAAATTGTACATTTTTATCATAAAAAGGAAAAAAACCTGAAGATTGAAAATGAGATCACTTTCTATTGCATTATTTGTCATAAGATAGGGAACGGTTGATCGTGAATGCTTAAGTGACCAACACATAGTGCCATGTTTTTTTACCAACTAAACATGAAGTATGGATAACAACACACTTCAATCTAATGTTATTTACATACATTAGTTTGGATAGTATCACTTCCAAGTATACTCTAATATTCTCTAGTCAGTTGCAGCTGTCCAAACATACTTCCTTGTTTTTGAGGCCTACATATTCCCTCGCGTACACCTTGCCGGAATACTTCTCATCAAACTATATTCCTATTGTTTAGTCTTTTTGTCATTACCATAGATACAATTATTTAAGCTTCCTTGGTTAATTTCATCTCAACATGTTGATTTGAATTGCCGCAAATTTAGCCGACGCATATTTGTACGATGATCAATGATTTTCATAATTGAGTGATTGATTATTTAGTAACATTATTCCCTTAAAAAATATGTTGAGCATAATCTGAAAAATGATTGTAAATGTCAATAAAATTCTGTTTAGACACACGAAACGAGAAAACCTGATGAGAAAGATTCGTTAGAGAGAAAAAGAAAGTTAGAATTACGAGATACTATATATATATATATATATATATATATATATATATATATATATATATATATATATATATATATTAAAAATATAAAACTGACCTTGGACAGAATTTCTCGAAAATATTGTCTCTCCACTGGTCTTGAAATTCATCATTTTTTTTAGTTATATTGCGGACACAGCTTGGATTATCAGAGAGCATTGGATTTATTGTAGAATCTTTAACTTCATATGAAGTGATTGCTGTTGTGTCGGAACTTCCGATATTAGACGAATCACTGATAATTGTTGAAGTAGATGAAGATATGCTAGTCGTAGATTTTGCCCGTAATTTATCAACAATATCACTGATACTTTTCACTGAAGATTTACGGGGAAACTGCTGTTGCTGTTGTGACGATTGTGAACATTGTACTGAAACAGACGAATTGGACTGTAGTGAAATTGGATGAAGAATGGATTGTGAAAAGTTTTCAGTATTAGGGGCTGTATAGCCTGAAACTGAATCGGACGGGATTAAAGAATTGTCATCAGTATTATTTGCCACACCAGTGACATTTGCACTGTACACAGCTACATTTATTGTATCTACGCCTTCTAAATTGGGATCGTTAGAACTTGGATGCAAATTTTCAACAATAGTTAAACTGGATTCATCAGATTTTTCTGGAGATTGAGAATCTGGTGTATCCCTGTATGATGAAATGCTTTCTTGTATTTGCTGAAGTGTGGTAGACAGCATTCCAACTGACTTGTCCCCACTTGCGTCCGATAAAGGTATACTTGGTAAACAGCCAGTGGTTGTACTTTTCTTTTTAGGGATCTTGTAGCCTTTAATTAAACCGGATGAAGAACCAACAACACTTACAGAAGCTGGATTTGCAGTGCATACTGAATTGGAGGATATATAATTGAGAGTGTTACTTTGTTGAACAGGTTGAGATTTACTTGTGGGAGTATGTGAAACACGAGGTAAATTAGGTGCTGTGTGCAATGATGGACGAGGTGTTTTACGTGATGTGTTACTGTTGGTGGGTGGATCTGAACTAGTAGGAGGAAGTAGGGGGGAAGGTATAAATGCAGAATCACTTGAGGTACCTGAATTAGAATAAGCAGACTGAGAGTTATTAGACTGCTTCGAAGTTTCTGGATTGCGTTTGCGCTTGTCACCGCTTACTAAGGGTGAAGTCGATGTAGAAAACAACCTCTTGGAAACAATCATATCATCACTCCCGGAACCAATTCCAACACCAGTCCCAAGCGGATTAGAATTAAGTGCAGAAACCTTCTTTTTTGATGATGAGTTGGGGGACATCGAAATACAGTTACTATACAAATTGGGAGTTGTACCTGATCCCGTTTGATTATCTTTGGGTACATCAGAAGATGGTGGTCGGGAAACACGGTTTATTTTTATCAGCTTCGGTATGTTTGAAGTGTCAGCTGTTTCTTGTACCTGGTTGTAAGTATTACTATTTGGAATGAAGGAAAAATGAGTCTTCTCTGTGAAGCCATGACCTAGACGGCGCTTACGTTCTTTTTTCACTAAGACAGAACCATGACCAACTAATTTATTCGTACTTTTGATTTGTTTTAAACCAGAGTTGTTAAGTACAAGAGGAGTAATTGCTGACTGATTAGGAACTCCAGAAGCCCCAGTAGTAACACTAGTAGTGGTAATTGAGGCATCAGAACCACTTATTGAAGAGTTGGCAAGCTGAAGCATTTGTAACATGTATGCTGATGGTTTTCCCTCTACGGAACGTTTTTTACGTTTTTTAACGGATGACAAAGATTGAGCTAGGGGAACTGTACCTCCAGAGTCCGACGTATTAATAGGGGTCGAATTCGATTGGATAGATTGGATTTTGTTGTAATTATCTACTTCATTCTGACTAAAGTTTACTCTTGCTTTAGGAGTCGAAGTAATGGGTTGAGATGGTATTGTTTTTATTGTCATCTTCAGACTAGTTTTGCGTTCGATAGTTCGTTCTAAATTCGGGTTTGATGATATCATTGTTGTCACAGGAAAATTCGAAACTGGATTGGTATTAGTAACTGCCAGGCTACCGGACTGCAATAGGTTTACAGACACTCCAGATTTAGGACTTGTTAATGAAGAACCGCTTGAAAACGACAAGGAATTGGAGGACGATATATTACCGACCGGGACATCGAACATTGAACCGGGGTTATCGTCGAAGTCATAAACCGACTTACTGGGATTAGGAGTTTGCATACTGATACTTTGCACTGTAGATGCTACCGTACTCTGTTGGACATATGGCAGTGAACTAGAAGAGAAATTTGAATTTGCTTGATTAAAAGTAGGGCGCTGGTAGGCTCCTGACAATGAGATACTGGTAGTCGGTAAAACGGTGTCAACACGTTGGTGCTTTGTAGTGGGATAGCTAGAATATACACTGGGAACAGGTGTATTACCTTTTTGACTACTAATGCATCGGAAACTACCTTCTACTGTCCCCCGACGCCTTTTACGAGGTTTTTTAGGATTACTTGTGGGGTTAACAGTTACACTAGTTTGACTGTTCTTTAAGCTTGCATGTTTGGTACGGCCAGTATTGGGTGTGATTAAATTGGAGTTACGAACGGAAGGGTACTGGGAACTATTTGGAGTAAGGTTTGGTGCATCTGAACTAGGGGGTTGAGAGTTATTGGATAACATCATGCCAGGAAGTCGACTATTAGAAACGTTTATAATGCTCGCAGCGGAAGTAAGGGGACTATTTTGAAGATTTGTTAAAGAATGACTGGTATTGTAGTGGTGACGATCTGTCATACTAGATGAAGACACCAAAGGAATGGAAGTAGAAAGTGAATCTTCGTTTAAAAGATTAACAAGCATAGATCCGCTTGTTGATGGAGCTCTGGAGTTATCACTAACCGGTGAAGCTAACAGTAAGAAAAAACAACGTTTTGTTATCAGCAGTGTGAATATAGAGATAAAAACTAGAAACTTCAAACCAACCTCGATCAAAACTTGGTATTAAGTGAAAAATCACTGGGAGTAAATAAAATATGAACTACCTCATTGTCGATCCAATTTATTTAAGAGGTACGAAAACATAACCACTTGAAAATTTAAAAGTAGGATCTTTCAAGATCAAAGATGAGCCCATTGACCACTCAGTTATCTAATTCGATTCTGGTGGGGGACAAATTGAACGTTAAATATAGTGTTGATGTGGTACGGCGATTCGGGCTAACGTATATTTCTGGCAAACTCTACATTGATTATGACTGGACTAATTGACCAAGTACTTAGTAACATAATGGGAAATACCACCTTAAGTCACAATGTTCACCATCGCTGACAAAAAATAAGTTTTAAAAGACAAGCTGTAATTATGTCAACAACTGATGCCCAATGACAACTAATCTCAAACTAATGAATTGAGAACTCTATGTTTTAACTGATAAGCGGCAAATGGGGTTATTGTTCATTTTGCGAGTATCTGCAGCACAACTACTAAGCTATATGCAACTGAATGTTCAATGGAAATTATATTTACATTTTAAAAAATATGCTATTAATTGATGAATACTTTGAAAACTACATTGTCGACAAAGGAACGCACACTTATATAATTCAAACTAAAAAATCCGGTTGATTTAAATGGACAGTCAATTTATTAATGCCCTTGTTAATGATTCAAACTAATGATTCATAAGCTTCTAAATTGTATTTGATTGCCAGTCAGTGTTAGTAACCACAACAGTTTCAGTGAGATCCATTTAATTTTGACTAAACATGTTTTAGTAAAGAAATAGACTTTTAAATGTACTGTTAATTAGAAACTTACCAGTAAAACTTTTGGATTTGGTTACAGCAGATGAACTTGTAGCCTCTGAACCGGAAGCACTAATAGACATAGAAGGTATATTGTACAAATTTGAAGGGATACTATTTGACCCGGATAAAACAGATGATCCATATTTATGTGAGGAATGAATAGTAGGTAATGAAAGATGATTTGATGTAGAAATGTTGGGGTTAATCATATCAGAATACGCTTCCTTCACATCCGACAAAGAGGCAGTGTGTGTCCCAGGAATAGGCGATACATAGCTTGGCAACGAGTGGGAAAAACAAATGGGAGGTGCATTACGTTGCTGGTTATGTTGCTGTAACTGTTGTTGTGTTTGAAATGTACTATCAACTAATAAGTCATCCAGCCTTAATCCACGAGATGGATTAGTTGAGACAACTGGTAAACTGGAGCTGGAATGCATATCACGTAATTTGCCTTGAGAGTTCACAGGTCTCAACGGTGATATAATGCCAAAGTCACCTGTTAATGGGGAAAATATTTTAAATATAATTATACAGAAACATCTAGAGAAATATTTTTGACAATGCATAGCAAAACCCTAAGTTTAATGATCAAAATATAGGCAATCAGCAACTGAAACTCCTTTAATGCTAGAGATACAAAGAATATAGTACCAGTAAACCATGGATAGAGTTGCAATTTATATAATAGATTGATACGTCAATTTTGACTCAAACTTTTCTGTTATTATTTTCTCACCAGGATCCTGAGAGAACTTGTAACATTTTGTCCTTGGATAAAAAAAGGAGTTTTCAACAACCCTGTTACGATCGAAGGGGGAAGAATATAAGAATAATCCATTTCATAAACCCTAGTTACTTTGTTATAATCAAACTAATATGACATCATTTCGTGTCTCTATGGTGTTTGGTTTCCATGCAATTTATATTTTACCTCGTCTTAATTTATTCTTTATCTTAAATAAAAACCCATTTCTTCTGGAAGTTTCGTTTAAACAGTTAAAAGTTATCGAATATTTGTTTAATGTACTGAAATATCGAATGAAGTAGCTGATGCAACAACTTATAGAGCACAAGGGTCGTCACTTTTAATGTTTTTACTTTAATGAAAATTGGACAAAAGGTGGATTTAGCTGCAGTACATAACCAGTTCATCTTTGTTTCTGAAACTTGGCCTCTATCAAATAAGGATATTTGAGGACCCATTGTACTTAACCTTCTTTATACTTGAAGAACTGTCTACATAAGAAAGCGACACTGCATTATTAATATTAAAGTCTACAAACTTGTGGTTAGGTACAGTGAAGATCGCAATACAATAAGTGATGTCAACTTGAATTAATCACTTTGATGGTTTGGTATTTATTATAACATGGTTGCACGGATTCCTTTTAAATCCGAAAAATAACTGGAAGTGTTTTTTATTAAATGCAAACCACCGTTTTCTCTTACAACTTCTCTAGTGAATAGCCTCTAAAAGAACGAAACAAAGCTACATCAAAATCCACCCATTGTGAGAATATATATATTAATGTAAATGGCGATTATGAGGAACATGTTGAAATATTTTATGTTGGGAATCTCCTATTCTATTAAACACAACTGTATTTGATAAACGGAACTTGTTTCCGTTACCATGATTACCGTTTTTAAACCCACAAAAAACAATGACAACAACATACTTGAGCTTGTATCCAAATGAGTAAACGCAGGAGGAGGTGTAGCCATGACACCTGGAGGTAAAGGAGGTATCTTTTTAGCACTGTTCAAATAGCTCGGTGTATTTAAAGCAAATACTTGCGCTGCAGCGAATGATGAGGAAGATTCAAAATCCAATGAAACTTTTCGATCGCCACCACAAAGTACACCACCAGTACCGTTAGCCCCACGGATTATAATAGATGATTTAACACGATTAAGCATTGTCCTTAGAGAAGTCAATTGCTTTTGATTAACTGATGAACAGCTTTCTTTATTCTCAGTACTATTATATGAATTGGTTACAGGTAACTTCATGCTTACCAACTGTTTATGAACAGGACATTGGAGTTGAGTTAGTAACCACACAAAACCAATAGGTAATGTATGTGTTTTTGTGAGAATTTTGCTGAAGTTAGCTTTGAGATTACCTCCAGACTCTATATCCAGCTTAGTCAGTGGCATGACATCTACTTCTTTGTCATTACTTGGACAATTACTATTTAAGCGATCATGCGTATTGGGAAAATAATTTAATTCCAGACACTGGACATCGAACGGACGCACATGTAAGGAAGCTAAGAAGTGAATAAGACAGTGGTTGATTACATCATAAGATCAAATTATTGAAACAAAATCAATTATACAGTACTTAACTCATGACATATAGAGCAACCAATAAGATGTTAGTTTAATTCGTAACTTTAAAAATTAACGTTTGTAAAGATATTATTTCTGACAATTTCTCAATAGTCGTTAAAGGAGAAACTAAAGTCAGTAGGTGTTCGAATTAAACATTACACTTAGGTTTGACTATGCAATTCAAAAAATAACTTCATTGGTATAGTTCTTCGAGGAGGTTTAATTAGCAAAAACCGTTTGTATCATCTCTTATTGTGCTATTCATTTCTTGCAATTCTGAATTTTTGTTTTCTAGACAAAATTCTCCCCGTCAGGGATTCTTCATGTCGTCACATCTAAAGATGATGGTTAGTTGCTGTTTGAATGTCAAATTTAAACCTAAAAGGGTAAGTAAACTCACTTTTTTCCTTCTTTAAGATCCTTAGTGTCTAATTCTTATTTTTTTATTCCACAAACCCATATTTCCTCCTAGAATCACACCCTCTATGACTAATCTTTTCTATCACTACTGATACTGTAACTAATTCTACTACTCTGAGATATTCTTTGACTAATTTACCTTGCTATGTTAATGAGGTGTTGTAACTTGAATCAATTTATGTATATCAAGTTCGATGTTTTATATAATTGACTGACTGAAGAGCATAATAAATGTATTCATGTTCAATCAAAGCTAATCTACTCGTATCTTTTAAGTTTTCAAAAAAATCTAACCTTTTAAGTTCGAATTTTGAATATTTCGGGGGCGGTTAAAAAAAAGGATATGAAATTGAATATGCACGTGATAGTAGAGCTCGAATTTAATGCCGCATTATCAACACGTATCAATTTTAACTGATATCCAGATGAAGAAAATCTATTTAATTTACTCATAAATTTAGTGATGAATTTTGTAAAATTTTAATCCCCACTTTTCTGAAAATTTGTACAGTGCACTTGTAAAAACTAGGCACTGAGTACATTACACCCTGAATTCCTATTGATATATTTATTGTTTTACATTTGTGGTACGTTACCACTGTCTTTAAAGAACTACTTACCATGAATTTTCGCTCCAATACGATTAGGATCATCAAACTCTAGTGAAATCATCTGACCACCCATGATTTTAATATCAAACGAGAACGTTAAAGAGTCATCTGGAAGGAACAAAACTAAGCATTACTATGCACATTAAGGGTTTAGATACTAAGATAACTAAATGTAATAAGGGTTCAAACTGCTATTTATTCGCTGACTACCCCAACATGTAATCCAGACTGACATAGGAGTAGGTTGGAGAAAAGATAGGAATGCGCAAATCGGGATATGATTTGAGCTATGTCGGAAGGTAAAAACTTATTCGCTGGGTCACAACCAATAATAAAAATCATGGGTTAAAGAACTTTGATGCCATCTATAAATCGATCATAGCAACAAAGTCGCATTCCTTTTCTCTTTCACTTGTCTTGGAAGTCTGATCAACCCTAATGTGTTGGTGTCTGACGAAGTGTGTGCTCGGATTCGGAAAACTCGTTCGGCTTTTGCTGACTTGCGTCATCTATGACGAAAGCGAGATATCCGTCTATCAATTAAGAGACGAGTATACTGTGCAGAAGTTCGTTCTGTTCTACTTTACGGCTGTTAACGTGGCCATTAGGAGAAGATATTTGTAAGTTACTAGTATTTGACCACGGATGCCTCAGAAATATTGCTCACATCTTCTGGGATCATTGGATAAGTAGTAGTGAGGTTAGACGCAAGGTATTAGTGAATGTCGCCAAATCAGTTGATGAGGTTGTAAGTCTTCATTGACTGAGATGGTTGGGCGATGTGTTACGTATGCCTGAACGCTGATTACCACGACGCAAAATGCTGACTAGTATTGAAGACAGTCGGAGGAAAGTTTGTGGTGGCTAAACCAAAATGTGGCATCAGTCATTGAAGTCACTAACTTCTAGTCTGAGCCATGTTGGTAGATGCAGACTACTTGGTTAGGGTTCGCGTGATTATCCTAACCAATGGTTGAAGACTGTGTGACATGGCTGAGAATCGATCACAATGGAGTAGATGCATACACTCTCTGTTTTCTCTTAAACCATGAGATTAATGTTGCTTCATACCTTTCTTTCTACCAACTAATTTTTACTTCCTGTGTTATATACTTATATTCAATTTTTCTTTTATATATTATCACCATAGAATTAACTACTTCTATGAATTTGGTGTTCATGTTGTTGTGCTAATGAGGTCTGGCAACTTGGACCGATGGATATATGTGCTTGGTCCTACAACGTAGATAACTAACTGACTGATTCGTTTTCTGTAGCCAAATCTGGAGTTAAGTGTCATTTCCTAAATCTTCATCTTTCGATTGCAATTATTCCACTTGAACTTTATTTTCAATTGTTTTCGGTATTATTTCTCATCCTATGCTTATTGCCTTTCGATTTCCTTTCGTTATGCTGATGTGAGATGTAACAACTTAGACCAGAATAAACTCATGCTACATCCTACGTTGATAAAGGCTAACTGACTGACAAAATATTTTAAGATATGTTACCCAAAGTAGTAGAACCAGTGATTCTGAAATTTTAAAGACCTTATTCAGGAGATTCAAATACATATATATGTAACAAATTAACACTCAGAGGTTTAACATTTTTACTCCATGGACGTTTGCTTCATAGTTTCCAAACAAACACCAGTTGATTTGTAATCCCGATTATTTTAATGCACATTTATTCACATATGGTAGTCACAATTTAAAATTCAATAGTCATTACATTCAGAAAATTATTTAGAATCTAAAGTTGGGTTGAGTACGATAAAAAATTGCGTGAACCCACCTTTTTCAACTGGTTTATCAGGATGAACAATAAATGTCTCATAAAATGCCAAAGCTGATGCTTGTTTACGAAGAATAGAAATAATTTCACCAATTTGATCTGAACATGTAAATGGAACTGAGCTGACAAGATAGGCTTTGACATCACTCTTAATTTGATAACTATGTTGTGTAATATTTGGGTTTTGCTAGATAAAATCAAACAATGAAAAAATAAAATTAGAGTTGACGTACTGAACTGAAAATAGAACAATATACATTAATTATTATATGTGTACAAAGCTCTATCAATACCAAGGATCTCAAGTTATAGTCGAAATAAATGTTATCTAACATGGTTTTCATAAATGTACCAAATATAAAGTCGTCATGTGTATATAGTTTAAGTTACTTTATTTCATGTCTCACTGTAAAATCAGCTGATTAAAAATGTTAATGGGTCCTCATAACTAACCAAGAGGAAGCACAAAATAAAATAGATGTAGTTACGTTTCAAACATTTGACCCGATGTTTGAAAGCTAAACCTTTTCGACGATTAAGTTACACTGTTGAATAATGATAGATATCAATATCTCCTATGGAAATAGAAGAGCCATTCAAATGACACTTGTGATTATAATAGTGACTAAATTGATTATAGTTTTGAGTTCTTTTATTGATTTATTTCAGGTATCAAATCATTACCAAGTTTAATTAGGTACTTTTTCTATGTAAAACTTGGTTTACAAGCATATTTTAACACTAAATGATCAAGGAAATTATTAATTTACAAACAATTCTTGTTTTTATTTCAGTATTTTTTTAAAAATTTATGTATTATTTAATTGAACTATTTATTTTATTGTCATACAGATAATAAACAGGAAAAGTATATGCATTGAATATATTCGAAAAATTTACATAATTATCCACTCACTAAATGTGTATTTATTCCATACAAATGTTCTTGTTTATGTTTCCGTAAAATTAATAAAACTATGTCTTCTTCTATTTGATCTATGATCTCTGTATTACTTAAACCTTTACATTATAAAAAAGAAAGAAAAAAATACAACTAAAAACTATTCTAAATCAATACTATAAATTGAAAAGTATGATAGATACTAAAAGTCAAGATAATTATATATTATTATGAAGTGATATTAGTTAATAATGGAAATTCATAAAACTACCCAGTTTATAATGTATATTATGGATACTGTTTTTGAACAAATAAAAATAATAAACTTGTAAATTATGATAATTTTCATGTTTAATGTTAATTTGAAAAATGATTCAAAATAATTGCATTATCATGAAAATGATAATCAACAGTTGTCAGTCAGGTTTTTATTGGTATACACATAAATTTCTAAATGTATTTAGCGAACAAAACTGAATAAACAAGATGTCACTATTTCATTACATCAATGAGACATAAGTTTATTTTAAAACGCAACTTAAACATATCATTTTAGTAGCTATCTTTTTTTATTCATGATATTATATAACATTGAATCCTTTCACAAATATAATCTCACATAGCAATATTCAATATGAATCAATGTGTCAATTACGAGAATTTATTTACAGCAATATATTAAGACATCACAATAAAGGTACTTGGTCCGAGTCCCAGAGTGAACATCAACTCTGAGATGAAAGTATATCCAGCTGACGAGTCCCAAATAGAACGAAACGCGCGTCCTGGAATCCACTGCTAGCCACTATTTATCTTTGCTTACAAAGTTCAATTTAGTTATACAAACACCAGTTGAAAATAATAGAGTACATGCATAAGGTTCTTAGACATTTATTATACGGTCTACAGGTATCTTGTGATTTGAGTTTATAGGTTACTATCTTCAAATAATAGATGAATGCAGTATGGGACAGAAAATTATAAATTTAAATAGTAAGAATCACCAAAATAGTATAACTTTTATGCCTATAACGTAAAATATCAATTTTAGACTGTGACAAAATACAGAATCTTTTAAAAGTGAAGTGGAAAGAATATATCACATTTCAAAAGAAATTATTTATTTTGGTAAACGGTTGTGATTCTATCAACAACAACAAAATGATTTCGCTTATCGATTTAAACAGTGGAATCATGGATACTTACTTGAACTTTCACAACATAACATTAACTGTAAACACTGTTTGATTCTACAAAACAATTTTAAATATTATTTTGTAACATATGATAGCTTTCAAAATTACACTGTCGATTCTCCGACAAGTTAATTGACACATTTTTTAAATGAAAATAGTATAGGCACTTAAAGGGAGAAGAGATTTACCTGTAGTACGCTGAAGTTGTTGAACTGCATCTGTTGAGATTGGTAAAGGAGGATCTAGATGTAGTACGAATTCAGCTTCAATTGATATACACTTGATTTCGTCTGGTTGAGCAAAATGAGGGACACTAAAGAAAAAATAGCAGAAAAATAGTATGTATGAATATATAGGGATAAAAAATACACAAATTTAATAGTAGATGAAGTTTTCAAACCATACATGCAAATCTATCATATTATTAAAATAGTGTGGACTCAAAACCAAAGAACATCCACAAAAATATCATGTTGTAGTGTAATTTTGTCATGATATAAAAAACTATCTATAAATCGCGATTAAAATTCCAGTTTCTGGGAGCAAGCGAAACAAACAATTGACTCTCAAGCGAAGAACACGAATATAAATTCAGACGATTTTGAAGTATTTTGTACTAACCGGACTCCATGGAAAGAAATACGGTTTTAAAATGAACTTAAGATGATAAATGACCGGACCCATTTGCACTTTAGCTTTACACTAAGAGAAGAAAAGAGCTACTTCGTTTCCATCCAACACTAGATAGATAAAAATACGGGAATTATTGATACCATAGAACGGGTTATCGTATCTTACAGATTGACCCAAATGGATACGAAGTATTCAAATCCAGGGAACATTATTAGACTTGGATTTTATGAAAAGCCAGAAGTCGATGTTTTTTATTCATTACTCACAAATTTGTGTTTGTGGAAGCTTTCTCTTCACTTTCTCTTCAAACACGTTATCAATTTTTTTATCAAAAAACGGAAAGTAAGGATTATCATAGTTAATTGCTCACCTTATACCATAAGCATCTTTCTGTAGTGTTACTAAAGGCATAAATGGAAGTCGTTGAACTGCAGAGTGGACAACTACAGAAGTATCCTCCACATACGACAATCTAGGACAAAGTCCGATGCGTGCCATATAACCTCCAATAAGACCATCACGAGATCCGCACCCAATACTAGTTGAATATGTACTTTTTGAATTCATTTGTAAATTATTCTTCATTACTCCAGTTGCATTACTGATCATAGCCTGTGCAGATGTGACTAGGTAAGTAAGTCTAGCTAGCCGGCCTCCTGTACGTCCAACAAAGTGTCCAACGAGTGAACGATTTACTAGGTCACGCATACTAAACACATCGTGTTTCTGATTTGGTGCTCGCCTAAATGTACTTATAGCATCGATATTATTTTCCAAGTCGGTTCTCATTGCCTGGGTCAGCATACTCAAGTCTTTCTCAAGAGCCTGTAAACACAAGTAGGTTCGAGCACGATCAATCCTTAAAAAGAAATAGAAAAGAAATATGGACCTTTCAAGTGACAAGAAAACCAAGGTCGCTGAATTGATAATACAGGATTAGGTGATTTAACTTAGTTATCATTTAAAACTTTGCAGAATTTATTTTGACTACACGTACTTGACTGAATTTTGATGTGTAACACTGACAATTCAATTTTAAGGAGTTATAAGTTAGAACACAAATATAGCATAACCCAACAATATAACTAAAAATAAATATTTGTCTACAGAAAACAAACCAAACACAGAGATCTATCAAATAAGTAATAGGTAACATTTATAGTAACAATTAATGGATAATACAGCCACATTAACTAGTAATTCAAACATAAAAGTGAAGGAGAATGCTCAGGAAGTAAGGGTTTAACAGTAGAATACAATTAAGTAAATCCGTTAATCATTAAAAAACTGACTAGGCTATGGTACACTGTTTTAAGCCATTCCATTTGTATGTGTACTAAATAAGTAAATTGAAACTGAACCTGAGATCCAGTCAACAGAAGTTGCATACTGAAATAAGTGAGATAAAATATGCTATGAATTTTTAAAATCACAAGATAGGTATTAAGATATATATATATATATACATATATATATATATATATATATATATATACTAGCAGAAGCACTGAAGTCAGACATTGAAATAACTGCAAACATGCTTCACCTTCTATTCAAGAAGATTTGGGAAGAGGAACAAGTGCCAATGGACTGGAAAGAAGGATATCTCATCAAGATACCAAAGAAAGGAGATCTGAGCCAATGTGAGAACCACAGAGGCATCAGTTTGTTATCAGTACCAGGAAAAGTTTTCAACAGAGTGCTGCTGAATCGGATGAAAGACGCAGTAGACGCCGAACTTAGGGATCGTCAGGCTGGATTCCGTAAGGATAGGTCGTGCACAGACCAGATTGCGACACTACGGATCATCGTTGAACAATCAGTTGAGTGGAACTCATCACTATACGTCAACTTCATCGACTATGAGAAGGCGTTTGACAGCGTGGACAGGAGAACATTATGGAAAATTCTTCGACACTATGGAGTTCCTGAAAAGATTGTCAACATTATCCAAAACTCATACGATGGACTACAGTGCAAAGTGGTGCATGGAGGACAGCTGACAGATGCATTTCCAGTAAGGACCGGAGTCAGACAAGGCTGTCTACTCTCCCCATTCCTCTTCCTTCTAGTGATTGACTGGATTATGAAGAATTCGACATCTGACGGGATATATGGAATACAATGGACTTCTCAGAATCAATTAGATGATTTGGACTTCGCAGATGACCTAGCCCTCCTCTCTCATACACACGAACAAATGCAGATGAAGACCGCAAATGTAGCAGCAGCCTCCGCATCGATAGGCCTCCACATTCACAAAGGAAAAAGCAAGATTCTCAAATGCAACACAGAGAACACCAACCCAATCACACTTGATGGCGAAACCCTGGAAGAGGTTGAAACATTCAAGTACCTGGGGAGCATCGTTGATAAACAAGGAGGATCGGATGCAGATGTAAAGGCGAGGATTGGCAAAGCAAGGACAGCATTTCTACAATTGAAGAACATATGGAACTCAAAACAACTCTCAACTAATTTCAAGGTCAGAATCTTTAATACGAACATCAAGACAGTCCTACTGTATGGAGCTGAAACGTGGAGAACTACTACGGCCATCATCAGGAAGGTACAAGTATTTATAAACAATTGTTTTCGCAAAATACCCACGACTCAATCCCTAACTTGGAATCCGGAAGGGAAGCGGAAAAGAGGAAGGCCAAAGAACTCACTACGCCGGGAAATAGAAGCCGATATGAAAAGGCTGAATAGCAACTGGAAAGAACTGGAAAGGAAGGCTCAGGACAGAGTTGGATGGAGAATGCTGGTGAGCGGCCTATGCTCCTCGACGAGGGGTAACAGGCGTAAGGAAGGAAGGAAGGAAGTTAATCATTAAAAAACTAACTAGGCTATGGTACACTGTTTTAAGCCATTCCATTTGTATGTGTACTAAATAAGTAAATTGAAACTGAACCTGAGATCCAGTCAACAGAAGTTGCATACTGAAATAAGTGAGATAAAATATGCTATGAATTTTTAAAATCACAAGATAGGTATTAAGATATATATATATATATATTCCTAATCATTTACACGAATCAGTCACTCAGATAAACAACAGATATCAATTTACAACAAAACTGTATGAAATAAAAATTAGTCCTATTTTAATAAGAAATGGATTTGCAAAATATGGCTTAGATTATCGGTTGAATTAGGGCATTACAATCCTCTGTATTTAAATAAACATGGAAGTAAAACAGACAAACTGAAAAACATCGGAAGGTAATTTTCCTAATTCACTGAAATCTTACAAATTTATCATTACCACTAACAACAATTCTCATTGTTTATAGTTAACTGCTTAAATGAATTGTGGGTGGGGAAAACTTATTTCCTTCACTTTCTGTAATCAGTATTTTACTTAACTACTGATCTTGCAAGGAAAGTTAGAGACGTGGAAGGGACAAAGTCGATTATATATATACCACTGTCATAACTGCGGAGACTATAATATCAAAGGATTTCGGAATTCTCAAAATAAATCTATCTTCATTCACTAACCGACGACGGCAATCCCCACAACACTACCTAATAACGTAAATTTCCGAGAGAAATGGTATGTTGGTCAGAAGTATATTACTATAAGATATCCGTTGTGGTGCACACCGAAGTAACAAGACATGTCACAATTACGACAACTCAACTGTAGAAAATGAAGTGAAACTAATGCAATACCTTACACAAAACGATAAGAAAAACTAGTGATTCAACAAGGAACTAGTCCATCCATTTCAAATCTAGTTCACACATTAGTTATGTACTAAATTACATACGGCTCCATGTAACAAATAAGAATTTGACGTATTATTACAGATAACAAAACAACTTACTTGTCACCCGGAACTGCATATATCGTCAGAAGATTATCTACGTGCTGTAGTAATGAACTGTATTTGCCCATACTGAGATCAGTGGCCAGCTCCGGACAAGGCTGTATGAATGAAATAAACAGTAAAGAAATCTTTACGGCGAACAGTAAGATATACTTTGATAAAAAATTAAACGTTTGAGATTGATATCCCTATATTTGATGGGTAGATTTTGAAACATAGTTCTAAATGCAGTTAACAAATTGCTGTGTTGAACCCGGTACGTGTACATCGGTTGACGTTGCTATACCTTAGTGGTAATAGAAAAGATTAGGCATCGAAGATACGATTCAAGAAAATATAAATTAGCGAAATAAAAAGATTATGACGAATTTAGAAACTCAGGGTCTAAGGAAATATAGAGTGGATGTACATGCACCATGTTATTCAAAGCGTCTAATCATTGGTTACTGTAATTCCGTGGATCTCGACATGTTAATATACAACTGTTAACATGACCCAGCTCATTTGTCGGTGACTTCATGAACTGATGCTATACTTTGGTTTAGCCGCCCCTAGCTTTCATCCAGCCCAATCTCATACCAACCATCACCCAACGAGGTATGTGGTGGGTAGAGAGATGTAGCACATGTCTCAGCCACCTCAATTAATGGAGACAATCGATTTCCCGTCCTTACCTAGTGCCTTATCCTTAACCCAAACATTGCTTACTTGGTGGTCCTAAAATACATGAGCAATGATACGAGGAACTCTGTGATCAACCACTGGTAACCTACGAATAACCTCTATTCTAAATGGCTATGTTCCATATGCATAAAGTGGAAAAAATCGAACTGTTGCTTAGTAAACTCGTCATTTAGTTGGCAGATGGATATCTCAACGTCATGAGCGACGCGATTTGGTAAGAGAGAGCCGAACTTTCTGAATCCATGTCAAGATTTCGTTAGACACCAGCTTATCAGGACTGATGAGATTCGCAAGATAAGTGGGCGATATGCCCAACTAATTCAATTCCTATCATTAATTTAGGCAACAAGACAGGCCAGGCGAGGAGCAACATTTTGCACTTAGGGAGAGAATCGATGTCTAAATACGCTGCTAAAGGGATGACTTCCCCTCTTGTGAAATACAATTAACTACACAAAACGTAGTAGCTGTTATTCTAGTAATTCTCCATTACATTACCAATGTATAAGATTCTATTCACTTATTCATGGATGTAGGATCTGACACTATTATATCGACCTGAACGATTAATATCAAGAGTTTATGACTATTGATTCATCTTATATATAAGCTAAATTTTCCTCAACGTTATTAAATGCTGGTGCTTCTAAGTGTAATGCATTCGGACAGGTGATAGCTGGGCCCCAGACAAACACTAACGAAGGACTATCCGGGATCAGTTAAGAAACGGTATTTGTAGAACTCACATGATTAATACTAGGTGGCAGTGGCGCAGATACATTCACCCCACAATTCACTTCAAATTATGCATATGGCATTATCCTACCTTTCGAAATCCTTTACTTGATTAGTTTAAAACACTCTTTACATTTTATGCTTTCACATTTTACTCTTTACATCATTAGATCTCAACTAATGTTAGTGTGATTAATCTTACTTCCTTAGGGTTCCTCTTGTTGATTCCTTTTTAAAGTATTAGTAGACTGTGAAGACGGATAGTTACACGTTTGTGAATTCTACATCGTTTATTGTCTATCCAGCTATCGTAACTTTTATGAAGCTAATTTAATGAATATAAAATTACCTGAAATAGTTACACATATCCTTGTTTTTATATGAATAAACATGAGGTGGCGGAGGCACGCGTCAAAAGTACCTAACCACGGTTCAACTAGACGTGGGTTAGGACTAGGAATAAGTTGGACTGAGCAGTCTACGAAGGTCTAAACTACCTGGTTGGGATCCGCAAATGATCATTGTTAGTGGTTGAAGTTTTCAAGTGAAATGGATTAATGTCGACCACGGCGATGCAGATGTATTTACTTAATCTGCCCCTGACTCATGAGCCTTTTATAATTTTGTGCTCTTTAGTGATCAAAGTCGTCCTTTTTTTCAAATCTTATTCTCCAATTCTTAATCTTTCTATTGTTAATAGTAATGAGATAAAAAGCTATCGACTATACGTCTCATTTGTCTACTGATACTCGTGATGTAAGTTTCTTCGACGGAATTTTTTATTTTGAAAAATACTCAACTGCAATCAAATATTTTAGAGTGCAGTAAATTTTTAGCCTTGGAATAAACTGTTAAGGAAATGATGAGCATTGAGACCAATACTAATTAAGGTGATAAATATGATCCTGCAAATTCCTACGAGTAAATAAGTTGTTCATAAAAATCTCATATCTCAACCATAATCTGAAGGCCTAATTCTCGGAAACTAGTTGTCTACACTAAACCAGTAAGCAGAATACCGTTTTAATTTACGGCTTTAACGCGGCTTGATGAGGCACACAGGCTTTCGTTGGTCTAGCCATCACCAATTGGATGAAACTTTGTGACCAACCACAAGAAACTGATCCAACCTATGTAGAGAAATTAGCATATGACTTCGAGTAGTAAATACTTCATGATCATCTTACGAGCGGAAATCAAGCAATTATGGGAAGAAACCGCTTTACAACTCATGAATTCGAGATCCTGCGCTTGTTTAAAATAAATAGCTTTATAAACAGACACCCTTAATCTCTAAAAGCTGATAATGGTATTATAAATGGAAGTTTTGATACGACTACATAATATACTCACCACAGCTTTGTCATGATTAAACTCAAAATAGACCGCGGCAATAGAGATAAGGTCTGTCAGTTCTGGTGAGTTATTATAAGTCGGATCAGAAGTTGTGATAGAGTTATTAGTTGCAGCAACTACTACTGCAAAGCACTCAGATGTTAATCTCCACACTAGTGCTCCAGCAGATGTCCCACCTCCCGAGCATGGACCTGAGGACAATTGAAGACCACAGTGTATAGCAATTCTTTGTAAGTGGTTGAGGAATGTGGAATACCGTATCAAATATGGTCCTGTGCGGGTATTGTTTGACCCTAAGTGAATTTGATCTGCACGAACGGTTGCGAGCAAATCCAGAAATTTTAAATTGTCTGAACACTTGGCGATGTCATGCATTGGCAATAATATATATCCCAAACAATGGTGATATCTTAAATAATAACTAGGGAAACCATATGAAGGCACAGATTTCAGAAAGTGCGCCTCAACATTACATTAGTCTCAATGTTTAGTCGAAATGTCATTATTGAAGTTCACAGTTCACAAATTATGTTCTCCACCTTCAAGAATAATTTTGTAGGTTTTCTATTTCTTTGACAGGCCATGCTGAAGTCTTTGATGAGGATAAATTTCTATTCAGAGCATATGTTTTTCGATCGTTTCTCCATGTATAATCAATTTCAATGCAAAATAAGAGTAGGCTTTTATAGACGATTAGGATGTCTGTTATAGGTGTAATGTTTGTAGGCATCAATATAAGTGACTGATAAGGTCTCATACCTGAGTCTGAGTGAATTCATCGTGCAGTTAGAGATTGAATTACTGACTACACTAACAGGTGGCAAATTGTTGGGTTAAATAGTTCTTCAAAATCATGAGAGTCTGTGGACATCAAAACTTTCAAAGAGTACTTCCAAGGGCCTATGTTCTTAAATTTCATGTACATGATCTACCTATCTGATTTTCTGATGAGGGAAGTGTGGTTACATGTGAGGAATGATGACGATAGGACACGATCATGAGAATGACTAATATGGTTCGCTGCGTAAACAAACAGGTGAGCATTATGAGTGAATCGCAGCAAAGCTTTAATTATGTCAAACTGTTCCCACCATGTTTTGCACAACCACGCCATAAATGTAATGTTGAAGATGCCACATGTATTCAGAGTTTGCTAATGCTTTAACCAGTAGCACCTTCTATTATGAATCTTACCCACCAAGTGAAATAAAAAGACAGAAACGAGAAGGTTCGAAGATGTATTTGATGGGTTATCAATACATCGTGGATCGAATGATCTAATCTGGCTAGCGATCGCAGGAGAAGTTGGGCACTGCGTGCGGATGCATGGCCGGGCGCCTTCAGCTAGGTGAGTCCATTAAAGCTGATTTGGTCAGCATCCAACGTCGAACACTTACATAACTATTTATTTTGTAGATTCATTTATCTCTACTATGTCATTATCTTGGGTTGTTTTTTATGTGTACTTAATATTCATAGTAAGTGACGACTCTAGAATCACGGATGACTTTGGAACTGGTCCCGAGTCCAGGTAAAGGAAGAGGGTTAGCAGTTAAATCGACAACCCCTTACAGTGAAAAATCATCCTGCTAAAAAACAACCAGAATATACAGTTAAACTAATTAAACTCTGCTTGAGAGTTGAGGCATGTTTATTTCGGAGAACTGGAAGAGCCTCATGGTGAAAACCGAGAAACTTCGAACGTCTCAGGGCCGATTTCCCTTCTTACGAGCAGGACAACAATTATTCAGTACATTGACTTCTTACTTAATAACGCCTGTAACCCCGAATGGAGCATAGGCCTCCGACCAGCATTCTCCAACCCACTCTGTCCTGAACCTTTCTTTCTAGTTCTATCCAATTTTCGTTCATTTTTCTCATATTTGTTTCCATTTCTCGGCATAACGTGTCCTTTTCTCTGCCTCTCCTCCTGTGGTCATGAGAATTCCATGTGGGGGCTTGCCTTGTGACGCTTTTGGGTGATTTCCTCAATATGTGTCCTATCCACTTCCAGCACTTCGTTCTGATTTCTTCCTCTGCTTGATGGAATCTGGTTTGTTCTCTCCCACAGTAGCTTGTTCCTGATAGTGTCTGGCCAACGGATCCGAAGTATTTTGCGTAGACAAGTATTAATAAACACCTGTATCTTCTGGATGATGGCTTTCGTAGTTCTCCAGGTTTCCGCCCCGTACAGTAGAACTGTCTTGACATTTGTATTGAAAATTTTGACTTTGGTGTTGGTCGACAATTGTTTTGAGTCTCAGATGTTCTTCAGTTGTAAATATGCTGTTCTTGCTTTGCTGGTCCGCGCCCTTACATCTGCATCAGATCCACTGTGTTCATCGATGATGCTGCTCACATATGTAAAGTTTTTCACAACCTCTAAAGCTTCTCCGTCAAGTGTAATTCGATTGGTGCATGCTATGTTGTATTGGAGGATCTTGCTTTTTACTTTGTGTATATTGAGACCCACTGCTGCTGAGGCTGCTGCTTCACTGGTCATCTTCTCATGCATTTGTTGTTGCGTGTGTGATAAAACAGCCAGATCATTTGCGAAGTCTAAATCGTCCAGCTGCATCCTAGCTGTCCACTGTATCCCGTGCTTCATTCCAGATGTTGATGTCTTCATGATCCAGTCGATCACCAGGAAAAAGAGAAAGGGTGAGAGTAAGCAACCTTGCCTAACACCGATCTTTACCTCGAACTAGTCAGTGAGCTATCCTCCATGCACGATTTTGCAGTTTAATCCATCATAGGAATTCCGTATGATATTGACTATCTTGTCAGGCACGCCGTTGTATCAAAGGTGCTTCCATAGTGTTGTCCTGTTCACTCTATCCAATGCTTTCTCGTAGTCAATGAAGTTGATGTGGAGTGGTGAATTCCATTCAATTGATTATTTCACAATGATCTGTAGTGTTGCGAGTTGGTCAGTACGCAATCGCTTTTCACGGAATCCAGCCTTTTGATCTCGAAGTTAGGCGTCTACAAAGTCCTTCATTCTGTCTAACAATACCGTGTTGAAGACTCTTCCTGGTATTGAGAGAAGTGTGATTCCTCTGTAGTTATCACACTTGCTGAGATCGCTTTCATGTGGTATTTTGATCAGAAGTCATTCTGGCCAGTCTATTGGTACTTGTTCTTCATCCCAAATCTTACTGAAGAGAATGTAGATTATCTTTGCGGTTACTGCTACATCTGTTTTCAGTGCTTTTGCCGGAATGTTTTCTGGTCCCTCTACTTTGCCGCTCTTGATTTGTCTGATGGCCATGAGGTCCGTGAATGCTACCTAAATGTTGAGTAGATTCAATTAGGCTGGTCGATTCAAGAGTTCTTTGAAGTGCTCTACCCACCTGTTTCGCTGTCCTTCAGTGTTTGTGATTACCTTGCCTTCCTTGCTTCTCATTGCTCGTTCTGATTTACGGTAATTTTTTGCAAGCTTCTTTCGTGTATCATACAACTGTCTCATGTTTTCTTCGCTTGCAGCTATTTCCGCCGTCACTGCTAAATTTTCAACATATTTGCGTTTATCGGTTGTGATGCTCGTCTTTACTTGCTTGTTTTTTCTGTGTATTCAGCTTTTGCCTTGGCTTTTTTCTGCTCTTGTTCGGCTAGTATTGATTGCTGCCTTCCTGTTATCCAGATAGGTACATGGAATGTCCTGACAATTTGGGAGACAGCAAATACCGGTCAAATAACAACGGGAATAAGGAGATATAAGTTGGCGGTTCTCGGAACCAGATAAACTAATTGGACTCAAGCTGGATGGCAAAGGTTAGGTATGGGAGGGATTCGGCTAGATTGTTATCACGGTATTTTAAGCGAACAACGTTACCAAACAAATGAATACACGGAGCTACTTGGGTTTAACCGTATCTCATTACACAGAACTAGATCAGTCATACTCGCATCACCAAATATTAATAAGGTCAAATTGAAGTGAAGTCGACAAAATTGTTAGAGGCGGCACTGTATTCTCACGCAAACGCATACACGAAGCTACATGGGTCTCACCGGATCACACTACACAGAACCAGATCGATCATATTTGCATCACCAGACATTAAGAATGTCAACGAAAGACGCGGGAAACATAAGAGCAGGAGCTGAAACAGCTCTAGACCGATATCTGATGGTTGTCAAGACGAAAATGAAGCTAAAGAAGAACTGAACAACTGGAAAAACAGCATTACAATGTTTAATAGAGCTTTCCTTCGAGACATTGACAAACTTAACGAATTCAAGATAACTCTCAACAACAGGTTCCAAGCCTTACAGAATCTATTGAAAGAAGAAAATTCAATGAAGCGCAACTAGAAAGGGATCAAAGAAGCACTAATTTCAACATGTTGGGAGGTGCTAGGTCACAAGAAGCATCATCACAAGGAATGGATCTCTATGGAAACCCTAGACAAGATTCATGAAAAGAAGAACAAGAAGACAGCAATTAACAACAGCCGGACAAGGGCAGAGAAAGTCAAGACACAACCTGAGTACATAGAAGCAAACAAGCAAGTGAAGAGGACAAGCAGAAATATGTGGAAGAGCCGACAGAGGGAAAAGATGCAAGAGACGGAAATACGAAACAAAAATATGATACAAGGAAGAAACTGGAGGGGAAATATAATAATTCAGAGAAACTAGTCAAAAGCAAAGAAGACAGGGCAGTCACCGAGATTCAAGAACAGAGGAACAGACGGGTAGAACAGTTTAAAGAACTTTTAAATGGGTCAGCCCTACTGAATCCACTGGACATAGTAGCAGCATCTGCAGAAAGTCCTATAGATGTCACTCGACCAACGATCGAAGACATTAAGATGGCCATCAGACTAATCAAGTGTGGGAAGGCAGCAGGACTTGACGATATACCAGCTGAAACACTGAAATCAGATATAGAAGTGTAAACATGCCTAACCTTATATTTAATAAGATTTGGGAGGAGGGACATGTGTCGATGGACTAGAAAGAAGGATACCTCATCAAGATACCAAAGAAAGGAGATCTGAGCAAATGTGAGAACTACATGGACATCACGCTGCTTTCAGTACCAGTATCCAACGTCGAGATAAACAAACAGGATTTCGTGAAAATCGATGGTGCACAGTCAAATCGAGACATCATGGATCATCGTTGAACAATCAATGGAGTGTTATTCGTCACTATTAATCATTATGACGTGTTTGACAGTGTGGATAATAGAACATTATGGAAACGTCTTCAAAACTATGGTTTACCTGAGATCGTCAACATTATACGGAATACATACGACGGACTACACTGCAAAGTCGTCCACGGAGATCGGCTGACAGATGCGTTCCACTTGAGGAAGAGAGTCAGACAAGGCTGTCTGCCCTTCCCCACTTATCTTTCTTCTGGTGATTGACTGGATTACAAAGACCTCCACATCTGAGGGGAAGCACGGAATACAATGGACATGTTGGGTTCAACTAGACAATATAGACTTTGCAGATCATCTAACTGTCCTGTCTCATACGCAATAACAAATGCAGGTCAAGGCAACCAGTGTAGAGGAAGCCTCTGCGTCAGTGGGCCTCA